CTGCCCTGCAGCTGCCTCATGGGGGGCACAATAAGGAATGATGAGGTCCATGGGACCAGTGGCCCACGCTTTAGGGTTGGGGAGCAATTATTTGCCAGAGTAGCTGCAGTTCCAGAAACATCATCATACCCAGATTTGTCTAGGGAAGGCTGGAGGAGGAATTTCTTATAAAAAGGGAGTTTTTTCTTGCATCTGTGTTGTACCAAAGGCAGGCAGTCGCGACTTTCAAACGCTTTGCTACATTCCTTCTCTTGCACCTTTACCTCTGTTGGCTTCTCCATAAAAGATTATAAAACTCACAAAACTTTGGGATTCCAGTTTATTTTCTCTGAAATTTGGTAGATACAGCATCTCATGTCTCACTAATGATTCTGTTTGGGATCCTTCTATACAACTATTTTGAATATGAAGCACAACATAAGCAATATCCTGGCCAGTGTTAGTGGTGCTTTTGTCTACAGGGTGGATATGCTCCAGCCTCAGAGAAGTTTAGGAAATGCAATGGTTTTCAGGCTCCTATTCTGCTAACACATGGCTGGGCTACTACAGCTTGGTGGGAGGTTATTATACAAACCCAAACAGAGTCAAGGTTAGATATCTGACTGGATGTATTTTAGTTATGCTACTCTCCCTGCTAACAAAAGCTCATAACATTCCTAGAGAAAAGAACATAAATTAGTACAAATTTCAAATCTCTCTAAATTATCCTAGCAGAAAGCAAGCCTTGGCACAGACAGAAAAGCATGGAGCTACTGCCCTGGAAGGCTGCTGGTCTCCCAAGTATCTTTGCATCTCTAGTATTCAAGCCATTAATCCTGTATTGAGTTTTACTGTTTAGATGTTGGGCATCCATCTCATTCAGGGCTCTCCAGTGCTGTTTTTTCATGTAGAGAAGGTCTGGTTAAGGTCCAATCATCAAAATGGCCCAAAATTACAATGAGAGACACAATCTGCAATACAGAGGTGGTGAGAAAACTTGTTCCCTTATTTTTTCACCTCTACTGTCGAAGTGCATACAGCATGGGGTGGCTGCATCACAACGGAAACAAGAGGCAAGACACCTTGAAATTCTCACATTGAGAAATAACTAAAGTGGATTTCCTCTACATCCCTCTTTCAGCAGAGTAAGAGACAGCCATATTCCTCAGTAAGAAAAAAGGGAAAAGAAAAAGCTAAAGTTAAAACTGCAGATGAAATATATCTCTTAGCATAATGACTTGGTAGATGATAGCACTTTGATCTTAGAAATTAGAAAACAATTTGACTTCAGTTTTTTCTTCTGGGTATTATGGTCCAGGATTGTATCAACACTAAAGTAAAAAGATCTGTTTTAGCTCAAGTATTATTTATTCACATGCTTTATGATTCTGTTTCATGGAGAAATGCAGGGATAGCATCTCATTAACTGAAGGAAAATAAAGTTTTCTTTTTTAACATCAAGAACATAGGAGCTCTGTAATCAGGGGTAATGTTTAAAACACTGAATGTACCTAGAGATATAATGTGACAAGGAAACTTCTCATGCATTCAATGAGAGGTGACAGCACACAGATAAAATACTAATCCCTTGTTATCAGCTCTAGAAACCAGACTAAATGCAATTGTCAGAAATTCTCAGCAGAAGTTGACAGGACCAAGACAGGGTTCATTTAGGGTCACTGGAAATTCCTGCTTCATTTGCATAAGTATTTCAGCAAGTACTTCAAGAGTCTTGCTTTCCATCCAAAGTTTAGGCAATTAAACACAGCCACATATTAAGAACAAGCTATTGTTTGATGCCCGGTATTTGAACTCTAACAACTACTGATTTTCAGGAAAAGTGATCCAGCATCTTAGCCCCACTGTACTGCTACGTGCAGAAGTACATGTCTCTCTGAAGCCAATGTCTGTTCATCTGTATGTCTGTTTTACAGCACTTAGGATGATGGTAGAGAATCAACATCAAATTAGGAAAATACTTCATTTGAATTTTTAACTCTCTGCTTATTTATATTTTAACTCTCTGCTCTTTCTGTCAAAGGGTGACGAACTTTTTTTGTTCCCTCAAGGTATGATAATCAGAATTATTAATCCTCAGAAAAAATTAATATTGGATTTTATAAGTATTTGGTATATTCTTTGTTTATTGACTCGGTGTTCATCCATTAGCAGTTAATTGCTGTGCTATTATACAAACCAGAAAACAACAACCACAAATAACAACCAGTCTCTGCCTCAGGACACACAACAAGCTGAAGAGAATGATCTGAAAATGCTTTAAAGAGATGCTTGCCAAAACCAGACTTACTGCTTATGGCCAGAACAGATACCTGCTAATTCAGGTGGGCACTTTATTAAAGCAGATCACGTCTATACACACACCACTGAGTCACCTGCACTATGGCCATTCCAGCCTGAGTGGAGAAGGCTGCAGTGTCCACTAGAACATTCTAGGCTAGTAATTGTAATTACACTGGGATTTGCCCGGAGTGAAAACTACACACTCCTCCAATGAGCAAACTCATTATTCCTGGACCTGTAATATATCACACCACAGCCTTGGTTGCTGATGATACTGGAGCCCCAGATACTTGACTGTGCCAATATAAATTCTTATGCTGAGGTACAAAAAAAGCTGGAGAACTGAACCAAGATCTAGTTACAAGAGGTAGAATGATCTGGTGGTTGCATCCTGACTTGTAAAGCAGAGAAGTTCTGTTTTCTTTCTTTTTTTTTTTCTCAGCAACATGCATCCACTGCCATATGGCAAGTTGACAGAAACTTCCTAAGCCCCATTTTATTCACATGTAAATTAATCAGTAATGCTATTAATTCAGACCTTCCTTCATAAGTGCTGGCAAAAGTATATCAAAAAAAGATATTTTAAAGGAACCTATAACAGAGACTGTGTATTAAGAAGAATAACCAAGGGCAGGGAACTGCTCTGAGCTCTACCATTGCTTGTTTGGGAACCAGAAAAACAGTATTGCACCTCAGCATCTCACAGCTTCCCCATCTATAAAATGGAGATATTTTATATCCCCAACCCTCATTTTATAAAGCACTTTAAGGACTGAGAAAGTTACCTTCATATTGGCATCTTGCTTCTAGGGATGATATTTTCAGAAGGACACTTACCACCACCCTCTCCTATTTCTACTGAACACTCCTTTCTTTTTGAAGTAATCAACTTCCTACTGTTTTAATACTGTTAGTGATCCCAGTCAGAAACAGAGAGCTAAAATGAGCAACAAAAACATGGGCCTTCATTTAGAGACATAATCTGTTTAATAAATATGACTGTAAAAGCAATAAACAATAGCAATTATACATTACGCTACATTGTATTTAACGAAAGGGAAAAAGAAGATGAAAAAGTACATCAAAAAAAGTAATTTTAAAATTAGAAATAGTTCCAACACTATAAGAAAACTTTTTGATCGGCTTACTATAAAAATAAGTTGGCTAATGTTGGACTTCAGTGGGGACTATTATACAGTTGCAGCCAAAACTTTCCCATCTTTCTTAAAGCTGTAGTTGCAAAGACAATAGCAAAGCCGTACAAACTGCTGTGTTTCTACTTGTCTTCAGAGAAACTACAGAAAGAGGCAGAGGACTCTATACTGTGATTATCTTTTAACTACTAGGGGTCTAATGTTCTTGGTATCATTTTTATTTGCCAGCAAGCAGGTTGATTTAGGTTTGTGCCCAGTTTGTGACAGAGAAATTCAAACCCACCACCACTAAATCCCTGCCCTGGGAATCTGGGCCACACTGACAATGCTGCTTTCTCCTGTTGCCATGTGAAATGTCTACTGAACAAAACCCACCCATATTGGGAATCAAGGTGCTTCCTAATTGTGCCACACTAAATATGAACTGGCCTCTATTTGCCTTCACCTAACATAGTTAAGCAAGTGTACACTGGTTGCAGTCTTTATCTATTTACACTTCAAACCAAAATCCTGGTGCTAGTTTTACCTGAGTTGGGTTGGAAATCAACAGTTGTAATGACCACAGGTTAGGCTTCAGCCAGATACCCAGTGTCTTTGGAGGACTTGTTCGAGGTATGCTAATCCTGCTTTCCTGCTGTTCCCTTGCATAGTCTACCTGAACACGTCCTACAGCCTCATTTCTAGTTGCAGTGTAAGACACAAGCTTAAGTTCTTGGTAAGAAATCAAATCTTGTGTAAGAGTGGTCCTGTGGTGCTGAGGCTCAAAGTGCATGGCAACAGTCTCAGGCCAAATTCTCTCTCTTCCGCCCACAGTGGTAGGAGCTTGTCAGCAATTAGGGGTACTAAGATGGCCACGGGAAACTGTGCAAAGACCTTTCCCTGCTCCCTATTCTATGGACAAGGTGTCTTTCAAAAAAACTGACAGGTTTTTGGGTGACTCCAAAAATGTAGAGATCTCCTGGAACTTCCTCAGACAAATTCAGCCATTAGCACTACATGGAGCTGAGGGTGTTGCTAGGGCTTTGTCTTAGCCAAAATTGAAGGTGTAAGGCTGGTACAAAGTACAGTGTAAGTTCTTGCTGGCAATAACCTCCTGCAACTGCAGCATGGACAGACCTCCCTCCCTGCCTGCAATGCATGCTTGTTCTGTTCAAGGTTAGGAGGCAAAGTTATCTTCCCATGGTGCTATCAGTGGGATGCCTTGGTGTGAGTAGGCTAAGAAAGTTGTGTCAGAAAGAGCTTGGCCTCGCAGGTGGGATCATCCACACTGAGCCTCCTCACAGCTGTAGGGCACAGAAAGCAGCTGCAGCTAGAGGAATGAAGGGCAGAGTCCAAACAAAGACATAAATCAGACTGACCAAGAATATTTTCAGCGCCTTTAAACTCCAGTGTGATTCTTTTGTGTGTCCAAGGAAAGTCTGCTGGGGTGGCTAACCCTCCCGCAGCCCAAAGTGCTAAAAGAGCAGTTAAATCTAAAGCCAAGAACCCTAAACACTCCCTCCCACTTCCCTAGTCCTTCTCCCCCCACATCCCAGCCCACCCCTCTCCCTAAAGAAGAGACCCCCATGCATATTCTTGGCCTATATCATTATGAATTTTCTACAAATTAGAGACAGATCAGAAAAAAGAGAGTGAAAGGGTGAGGGGAAGGGCCGCAGGAGTGAATAGTGGTACCAGTTCCTCTCCCCCCACCCCCCACTAAAATTGAACACCTGTACAATGCAGTTCCACTATGATCTCAGTATAATGTCCACATGCACAGGCTTAAAGCTAAAAACCCTTTGTCATCTGAAGAATTAAAAAGTCCAAATGCAGTGAGCTCTCCTCCTTTTTTAGATACAGATATTGGTGTCCTCAATTCAACCATTTACATAGGTAGGGATTTCTTTTGTGCTCTGGGACTCAGCAGCTGTGGAAATACTTCCTGTGGCAAAGAAAGAACAAAATTAGAGTCAGTAAATAACAAGCATATTTAGCCAAGGAAGATGCTTGAAGGTATCACCTTGCTGGCCTTTGGGATTCAACTTCTCCAGACTGACACATTCTTCCCAGAAATGTTTTCCTGTCATTCAAAACACCGAAGGTGATGTCCTGTTCTTTTGCTAATGAAGATGATTCACCCATGTTGAACAGAAGAGGGAGAGGCCAGAGCAGAGGGGTGGAGGGAAGGAGGGGTTGAGGTCCTCAGAGGAAATGTGTAACTCATTTGCAATGATAAGGTGTTGGAGATTTCATAAATAACCTTAAGCTTTGCATTTGCTCACATCCAGAAAATAGAAATATGGGAGGGGGGGGGCGGTTTATGCTACCAGAGTTTGGAGAGAAAAATTAAATGATGCAAGGACATTAATTCAGATTCCTCCAAGAAAGTATCCCTGAATGTTAGTCAAAGGTATTCTAAAAAACTGGTTTCTGAACAAGCATACAAAAGAGAAACACCCAATTACAGTCCTGCTCTGTTTTCCCAAAAGAAAGAAAACTCATTAAAAAAGAAATTGCTGATTTCCAGAAACAGATGAGGTTGTTGTATAGGAGAGTGAAGAGCCTTTGCACTTTCTATTCTGTTCACACCTAGGTCCAGACGTCTTCATTTTGTCAATGAGCTGGGATTCAGTTTTCTCATTCATCTTACTGACAGGATAGAAAAATGCTTTTAGGAAGTTTGGTGGACTGATTCCTTTTGATACATAATTGAGTCTATGTATCCCACATATTTAACTTTTGTGCTCGTTACTGCAATTACAGGTGCAAAACAAGAGTTGTAAAAAGCCAATTTCTGGTTCAATAGTGTTCAGTAGCACAGCTGAGAAACGCATAAAACTCTGGCTATTGTAGAAAGCCAGAAATTCTACAGCTGGACCAATTGAAAACCTACTCCCAAGTTGGCTTTTGACTTCTCTTTATCTAGAGGCTTCAAGGGTTTAAACTTCCAACACCAGCAAAAGCAGTTTCAAAGGAACCTTGAACAGAGCTAGCAGGTTACTGACACTTGCTGCTTCAGTCTGAATGACCCATGAAAACATATCTCTCCCTGCTCCTGGAACGACATGAACCATCACCATCACAGTTTTTCAGAAAGGGGAAGCTCAAAGCCCATCTGCCTGTAGAAAGAGAGTTCCCGACTTGAAATTGGGTGTTTCTCCCTTAGCATTGATTTTGCCTTGGAGGTTTCTGGGGAAAAAAAAACAAAACCAAACCAAACAAATGTAAAAAAGAATAGTTAAAGTTAGGACCCACCGCTCCGGGTCTTGGCTTGAAACCTCTTGGTGATCCACAAGCTTTTTGGAAGTCCTCTGTCCAGACTACCTTGGTTGCATTTCCTTTCCTTGGGTTCTGGACTGTGGCCTGGGGTTGCTCTGTATGGGGAATACCACATGGGAAGGTTGGTCCCTCACTCTGTCCTGTGTTCTGGTAAGCAGGGATGTCCAGGTCTGCTGATGAATAGCTGCTTAAAAGCTTTTAATAGCTACAAGATCTCCTTAGTGAACAGATGAGGAGAGATCAGCATTGACTGCAGTGGAGCTTCCAGTTTAGACACAGTTTCATCAAGGCTCTTTCTTCTTTTTTCTCCCAGGTTGTTTCACAGGCCACAGTCTTAGCATATCAATTTCCCTCCTTTAATTGCCCTTTTCCTTGCTCCTCTCTATAGTAGATATGACTCCAAACCTACTTTAGCAAACACTCCCATACATTTTAGGGAATCCTCAGGTGAGACCTAAGGTTTATTTAAGCTGATGAAATTGTGGAAATAAGGGATCTCAGTTACAACTATGCTTCACTTCTGTCTAAGTCACAGAATCACAGAATGGTTGGGGTTGGAATAGACCTCTGGAAAACATCTGGTCTAACCCCTGTGCTAAAACAAGCTCACCCAAAGCAGGTTGCACAGGATCGTGGTCAGGAGAGTTTTTAATATCTCCAGAGAAGGAGACTCCACAACATCTCTGGGCAGCCTTTTCCCTTTAATTCCTCTAAAATAGCTCCATGTCCTTATTCGCAGGGGTCCTGCACTGTACCTCTGGGTTGGGCCTGCAGAACTATCACATCATGATAGTGAAGCTGAGCAATGCCCAAGCAACACTGGCTTTAGCAGAACATGTCTGAAACCTCCCTCTCCATCCCAACACTTCTACTGTAGTCAGGATAACAGAAAACATATGAGCAAATGCGTGACTGATCCTAGAATGCCCTCTCCAAGTCTGTTCACTTTAGGTCCTGCTTTTGGAAATACTCAACCACAGAGGTCTTGGGAGAAATTAGCCTGAGGGCAAACCCAGGTGTCCAGTGCTGAGATCCCAGGTTTTGCTCAATTTATCTGTGAATCAGCCAGACTAGCATCGCTGCTGGCAACAAGGTCTGGCAGCAGTCAAAACATCAATAGATATTTAGCTTTTAGATATGACTTACCAAATCACCTGCTCACCTCCGTGTTCCAGGTGAGGGTGGCTGAAGTCCTTCTGGATGTGGGGCTTAGCCCCGCAACTATATCAGCCCCAGCAAAATAAATTACATTGCCAGCAGGATTTTTTGAGAAGGGGAGGGGATCTACGTAGAGCAACTAGGAGAGAGAAAAAGTCTAAAGTTGTTCCCCTCCCTTTCATCACATGGCAGTGAGGGAGGGGGAAGAGTTAGCAAGGTTTCCTGTAGCAAAACTAATGTTGCAGCAGAAGAGGATGGGAGGAGGATTGTGCAGGAATACGGGAAGGGGGGAGGCTGAGAAAAAGGTTAGCCAATTATAAGTCAGAGTCTGACCAGCTGCAGGATGCTGCAAGTTATTTACCTATGGGGTGGACTTCCAACTTCTCATCTACTAGTTGCTCATGGCTCATCAGCTCACTTTGAGGGACATTAGGTATGCTTTCCCTCTGACTGACTGGACTGACCATCTCTTGATCTTTTTCATTCTGCATCTGTGCATATATATTAAGGCCAGGAATCTTCCTAAAACATTAACAGAAACCATCATTGTGTGGTATCTGGCAGATGATGTAGCATCAGCTTTTACAAACCAAGAAACAACTCACTCCAAAAAAGAAACCCAGCAAAACAAAGCCCAAACACCTCAGTGAAAGGCAGCGATGGTGAGAAGGAAATGGTTCAAGGATGGCCATACCTTTTGAACTTGTAGATTACAAACACAGCTAGTCCCACAAAAACGACAGAGAGGAGCATCAGCATAGCTGAACCACTGTGACTGGGAGTGAGGTCCACTAGGGGAGCTGCAAGAGAAGAGAAGGTTAGAGCCACCCCAGCCTGAAGTGAAAGCTGCTCCCTCCAGAAATACAGTTCATCCTCCCCTCTTATTGCACTTGTAGCAGATCTCATCTGTTCACATGTTTCCAGACCTTCTCTCCCTTCCTAATCCACCTGGGAAGAAACACAGGTTAAAATCACTTGTAGTGCTAAACATACCCCTTGATATGAAGTCCCACAGCTTTCTCCTTAGAGGCCTTCTCTGTCCTATGAGAGGATGCCCAAAACATACTCTCTTATACTGCAATTATCTAAGGTAGTTGTAAATAAGGTCACTTGGGTACCAAATCTGGCATTTTCTGGCTGATCCTCGAGCTACCCATGAGCTAACTTGTCAAGCTGGCTCTCTATTTTGTGTAGAGCTAGTCTGGGTAGCTCCCAATGCAGAGTGAATAAGGAGTGACTGGCTCCTCAGTTTTACTAAAGAACAGTGTCCACTTAATGTATTGTTTTCTGCTCAATTCTGCTACTTCCCTACCAGAAAGGCAGTAGCCTTCACAGACACTGCCTCAGTGTCCATGGCAAGCTCTTGTCACGTCTCTGACATTTTCGTTTTCTTCCTTTATCCCTCTCCTACTCATCTGAACACATTTTACTCTCTTTTCCCTGGTGCCCTGACCTCTCTCACACAAGTCTTCCATGCAAGACAGTGCACAGATTCAAGAGAAAAAAGAAAAAAAAAAAAAACAAACAAAAAACCCCAAACACCAAAACCAATCCTAATCAGACAAAGAGTCTCTCTGTACTTCTCAGAGTTTTGCTCACCATTGGGTCATAGCCTTTTGAAAAGTAAGGCCATCCAAACTATGCAGAAGTGTGGATTTCCCAGAAATACAAAGTGAATTGTATTAAACAGTTTCCAACACTCAGACATACACACACACACAGACAGAAAGGTGCCAAGTATCCAAGAAGTTTCACACCTAGGTGCAAGTGTCAGTTGTTCATACAGACACTAATACAGTATCCTGCAGACATGCAGCTGTAGCTGTGCCATTACAAAGAGCTAACACACAGAAGGTACTGTCCTCACTGACTGTTCTGCATTGCACACAGAACATGGCATAGGTAGTGCCTTCCTCTGTAAGGCAGTGAAAGTTGACTTGAACCACTGGCAAACACAACTTTACCTCTTTCACCTCTTCACGTGCACTGAACAAACCCATCCTAAACCAGAGGAAAAATGCATACAAGGAAACACACACATACAAGCAAGTACTTACTAATGCACGCACATCACGTGAACATTTTTTCAGTTTCGCACCCAGACTGATAAAGCCAAAATTTACAAAGAGAAGTGAAAAACCTTCTCCTTTCCACACCTAGCAGGCTATCCTCAGAAAGGGAAGGCACTGGGATGAAATTCATGACTAGGCTTCGCGAACGAAGATTTAGGAAGGCACTATCCACGTTTGTTACTATTATTACACATCTCCAGTCTGTCCCCTCTCCATCTGTAATTTTGTGGGTCTCTTCAGTTCTGTGGGATAACAAAGTGGCTTTCCAACCAATTCAGATTCAGCATCACTCAAGGTTCTTGCTATAATGCTGCACTGAGAGCCCAGTAATAAACAGCTATTTAACTGTTTTGTGAGGAATACTGGCATATTTTACTCTGCCTTGGAGTTAAGGTTGTTGTCTGTTGGGCTGGAGACGTTTTGTTTTTTTTTAGCTCATAGAAGAAGGAATGAACATGATGAATGAATTGCAATCTGTTGTCTATAATTGCCATAAATGGATCCTTCTTCCAGTGTGGGCTGAACAAAGAAGACAGAGGTATGAAATGTGCTGAGGTCAATGCCTGTCATTCTTCTGTGCTCCAGGGAACGTACATGCCCACATACAACACACACTCACAAAGACCCATTTCTACACGTTCTGGTGTTGAATATCCACATCAAGCTAGTTTAGATACCTGAACTTTTGTTCCCTGCAGCTTCTCTGCTGCAGAAATTGCTGTTGTGCATAGCCATACACAGGGAGGAACACACATGTGCACTGAGGCATGGTAACATTAATGCAGAAATACATATACATACATGAATACTTTGAAAAACACATGCTCAGCTTTGTTTTCAGCCAACTACAGCCCATAGCTGTCAGAGTCCAGCACAAAGTCATAGTAAAAAGGCTGGGAAAGAAGGGATACCACAGACCAGAGCAGAACCTCTGCACCCTGTGCATCCCCTGGATTGTGTTTTATAGGGACTGCTTCTGGGGTTGTCTTGTGTTCCAGGTTTCCCTGCTTTATTTTATTTAATTTTTTTTAAAAAGCTTGGATTTTTAAAGGACAATTCTTCTTATTCCCTGACAACAAAAACAATAGCTTTCAGCAGAGAAGTAAATCTCACATGGCTTTTTATCCAATTTTAAAGTATTCCCAAGTTTTGATGTCATGAAATTGGGCCTTTTACTTAGACAGAGAACAGAGTCATGACCTCTGCAGCTTGTTAAGGAGTCATATTCCCTCAAAGACCTCACAGTGGCTGCTGTCTGGGTTTTTTAATACCTAGTTTGCCCATCTAAGCTCATTTTGCATTCTTACTGAATCTTATTTCTGCAAGAGACAAAATCCTGTAGTGTTCTTATAGGACTCTGTGAGGTCAGTCACAGCAATCACCAGTGGCTTAGAAGGGAAGCATAACAAAGCATACCTTGCAGAACAAATGTGTGTTTGAATATATTATGATCAAAAAGTACTCATTCCTGGTGTGTGTGTAAATACAAATAAAAATGTGCATTTTTGGTGAGCACAAAGATTGTGTCTGAGCCAAACACCCTCTGCTTCAGCCTGAGCTAGCAAGAAACAGAACAGCACATACCTGGAGGCCATACTGGCTTTTAGCATGGCAGTAAGTCACAGTGATAGACCCTGCCTTTTAGTTCATTCAGAGTGGCAGACAAGGTTTAGTAGCCTAGAAAAGCACTGCAGTACCTCCACTAATTACATGGCTTCAGAACTGGAGCTACCCAGATTTTAGTCAGCTCTGAACATGGAGCAGCTGGGGACCCTGTGTACTCCCTCATGCAGAGATGTCCAGAACTGCTCTCTAAGAAGCTCCAGGAGGCTCCTACAAACAGCAGAAAACTTGGATCCAAATTCACTTCCTATAAAGGCAGAGCTGGATAAGTGATTTTAAGTGTCCTCTGTTTCCTGTAGATGAAATCAGGAACGTCCCTTCAGTAGCAAGGGGTAAAGATGAGCCTTTCCAGGAATATCTAATATGATTCTTTTTAGCTATAATTTTTTGAAAAAGACCTATAGGACATTCAAGGCCAGAGTAGTCATACATAAATGTTCATTCAGGATTTGACCTTGAGTTTAATAAATATTGATCAAAATAGAAAACAGCCATGTGCATTGGCAGAGTAAATGTCCAGAGACAAATTGAAAAAATTATGAGCAATTGCAGGTAACTCCATTTTTGAAGCTCACATTAAGATGCTTTCAGATACATTTCTTTTAAGAGACAGACACTGAGCATCTTCTGAAAGTATGTATTGTATGTATCTCTGGTCATAGCTGAAAATTCAGGCCAAGGATTACTTCTCTGGTAACAGTCTCTTTTTCCTTACTTTATAGACAAGGCTGCATGTGGACTGACACCAGGTTGGGCAGACACATAAAGATTTTTGGAGAGAAGTTCGTTAGTACAAATGAACTAAAACTTTTAGTTTGCAGGTTAGCAAAAGAAGGTGACACCAACTGATCACAATTATCAGCAGCTCCTGGGGAAAATGAATTCCTAACAATCCCAAGCACGGATCAATTTGTCTCATCTCTTGTAATAGTTCAATAGGGCCTGTGCTGTGAAACGAGGTTTTAACATGCAGAATAGACAAAGACAATAATTAAAGGTTAGGACTTTGGAGATGACTTATTTTGAGAGAGGATTAGTTAAAGTCCAAATGGCCTAATCTTTTTTTTGTGCATATATATATTGATTCTAGTCTTTCAGACTGATGAACAACATCTGAACTGTGTTTAGTAGCTTTGAATGTTTGTTGACTCCAGAATATCTGTACGTACCCAAGGCTAGCTGGTAACCTTTGCCCTGTGTGACTCAGGCTGAAAATGTCATGGTGCTGCTTACCTGTTGAATATTTCAGAGATAGCCACAAAGTAAACATTTCTACTGCTTCTTATACCACATTTCTGCCAAAGCCAGTAAATTCTTTCACATAAGAAAACAAAAGGGTTAGCTTTAAATGCAAAAGTCACTATATCTTTTTGGTGTGATATAAAAAGGTGAGGTAAAATAGGCATTTTAATGTTTGCTGACACACTGTGCTGTTACTGTGATATAAAAATAAGAAATGCTTAAAATTCAGCTAATAGAACACTCCTACCATCAATCTATTGCTTGCTGTGCTACAGAGTGACAGAAAATGTATACACAGAAAAGGGATACTAACCCGCTGTTAAATGGGCAGCATGGACAAGGATTTGAACTCCTGGCTTCAACTCAAAATGGACCAGATTTTGGTTCAGTTTCTGGATCAGTGATTCAGAAATCTGGGGGAAAGAAAAGAGAAAAAAAGAAATGCATTTGTTTCCTGACCACTGATTTAGATCGCCAATAGGTGGGTAGGAAACGGAGCTGCGTGCAAATTAAAGATTTTGCAGAGGTGCCAGATTTTCTGAGCTCAATTTCCTATCACCTTACGGAGAAGGAATTTGTGAAAGCTGACACCTCTGCCAGTACTATGTACAGAGTGGTTTGTGTACAGTTAGCAATGACTGGTAGCAACAAGTAGCCCTGTCACATCTCTGTAGGAGTGGCCCAGCAGCAAACGAGCCCCAAAGGAACATTACACCCACATGTGTAAGTGTCTGCAGGACCAGCCAGCAGCAGCACATCAGTGAACTCATGTATTATTCAAGCAAAAATAAACATTTCAATTGTTAATGCTCATTTGCTCATAATAAATAACTTCTTGCTCATTGACTGGCCAGTTCCATGATCTTAGAGTATGTACATAACACATGATATAACTGAACAAAAATTAATCTGTTAGGTCCTTACCACAGCTTGCAGTTAATTTTCAAGTTCTAAAAGCAAATTTCATTCCATCCAGCTCTAAGTTTCAAGCCAGCTGCTCCCTAATCAGTAAATATGTACCAGATCCAGCTTGAATCTAAAAGTGTTTACTGACTACAGAATGTGGTTGAAACAAAATGCACGGTCCATCTCTTCTTATGGGTTACACACAGAGAGAACTCTCTTTCATGGGAGAGACATTTCCCAGAGCCTTCAGATCACCAGATTATGTTGCCATAACTTTGATGACATCAATAGAACTCTAGCAGAAATGAAGAAGGTTACTCCCCCTTAAAGTACACAACAGAAAAGATGAGCATTTGCTGAGGTAAGACCCTATAAATCTGTATTTGTACAGTGAAGAAGCCAAACTTTGGCCCCATCTGTTGGTAAACATTCATTTTTTTAAGTCATTTTTTCACAATATGCCCAGACTCACTTTCTCCACATCATACTTAATTACATCCAGGAAGTTCCAGGCATATTGCCATTAAAAGCAAAACATCTAGGTAGATTAAACAAAGAATGTAAGCCTATAGACACGGTGTTGAATGTTTGTTGTGTGTCTTTTGCCTGATGTCTCATGTATTTCACATTTTCCTACAGCAGTGATCAATTTTCCAATTGAACATAGTCGTTGTTCTGCATGTTGGTTTAATAGGGAGAGGTGGTTGGAAAAATGTAAACACATACTCCCCTATAACCCTTAATATGCATTTACTGAGAATGTGTTTTTATAGCCAGACCAAGAACAAGAAGAACCGTATTCTAGTGCTCACCACTTAATTTAATTTGTTTCAAATAAATCCTTATTCTTTCTTGGAGATTAATGAAAAATTGTCAGAAAAAAAAAAATCCAATAATTTTTACACCATCTTTTTCATGTTCTTCATTTTTGTCTGGGTGAGTTATTTCAGTAAACGCTACCCTGATATGATTAGATGTTCCTTGGCTATCATTCATTACAGTACGAGATTTATCTGCTTCTTTTATTTTTTTAACATTCTTAATGGTTCTTTCAATACTCTTGGCTCATACACTTAATTTCTGGCTGCTGATCACTTGAATGGGTGCCTTTGGTTCAATATCAATTTGGCAATAACTCTTACAGGCATTTTATTTATATTTTTAAATATATTTCTTTAAAGTTACAATCTATTTCATGAGTGCCAGAATGAGCAGTAAATATATTTTTTCCAATAGCAAGAAAAAATACCACCTGCATTCAAAGAGCCATCTGTTGAGCTCAGAGTAGCAGGGAGAGTGACACAAAGATGTGCAGTTCATGGAGAAAGCCTGGGAAGTAAATTATATCTCTCTTTAAGGATTTGACCATATTAATAACCAAGATTGACATAAAAAGTTTTTCATCTCTAAAACCAGAGCAACAGTTGTAGATTAATAAGCTGTAAGCCAGGTATATTAATGGCTCAAGAAAATAACAGGAAAAATATAATTCTGGCTATATCCATTCCCAAATACAACTTAACAGTTCTCCTCCATAACCCTGCAGAAATTATTTTCCTTTGTGCTCTGACATCCTGCTGCTGCTGGGGCAGCTGAGCCTCTGGAAAAAAAAAAAAAAGAAAAAGAAAATGGAAGACAGTAAACTGAAGAAAAGAACCAACCACTTTGTGTCGTTCCTCTTCAACACATTGTGACAGCTGCACAAAATGGCAGGAAAACAGCAGAGGTAAAAAACATACATGATGCCTTCTATACAAACAGAGGTTTAATGTGATGTATAACTAAATCTGCAGCTAGCAAAGTAGTACTGGAGAATGGTTTTGTCAAGGATTTGGGCACGAAATGGAAGAACAGAAGGATCTGGAGAAAGCCAGCATGAGCAGGTACAAGAGACTTTGTTGGGCACTAGTGACTTGAAGAAACAGTGAGATTTGCCCTGGCCTGCCCATGGTGCAGAGTGAAGAGGGTAAAACAGCAGGAAAATGACAGCTGAGAGGTGCTGTGGGCTACCTCTCAGCAGGTAAATTGTGTGTGTGAGAGAAAACTCAACAAGTATTCCTCTCTGCAAGGGAATAATAGGAAGGGGAAAGGCAGTAAGAGTGAAGTAGTAAGAAAAAGGAAGAAAGAAAGAAAGAAACAGTCACAACTGAATTTTATTATTGCTGTATTGAATTGTTACTTGATTGAGGACTTGGTTGTATGACATCCTGTACAAATGCATCTCAGACTAAAATTATTTTTGCCTGAAACCATCAGTGTCCCAGCAGAGGATTGAAATAGCCATAACTGTTCCAGGACTACACACAAAGTGTCAAAACTGGCAGCAACTGTTCATGCTGCTCAGAGTATAAGGCATATTTCCTTGGCTCAATTAATTACATGCACTCCCAGTGGCTTTTTGTGTACAGCCTTTTTTTTTTTTTTTTGCCTCGGTCTTTATGGAATCTGAACAAGTGAAAAAAATGAATAACAGACTAAGACCTTCAAAAGTGCCAGTAAGAATTAGACATCTGCCTTCCTCAGGCAGCTCTGGAGATGCCTAACACACACTTCTGAGGGAAGAACAGATGCATTCAGACATGTTTTTAAAATGTTTACTTGCTTGGTACAATGTTTTCGTTTTCCCTTATGTGGAAAATAAGATTCTCTTCAAAACAGAGATTCAGACAGTGAAAATGCATTTCTGTACTTCTAAAAATTATCTGAAATAGAAATCATACACAATGGCTTACAAAAGTCAGTATTTGAGGTCAGTGAGCAGCTTACACACACCTAAAGGGCCAAATTCACAGCAGGTCCAAAGTTGGACCTGACAATGTTTGTGGCCCTCACATGGTCCCAAGAGGACCTGTGCACCACAGGGTCAGCCAGGACGTTTGCTTTGAGCTTGGAGAAGAGGTTCTTCTGCCTTTCTTACTCTGTCAAGTCTATTTCTACCTCATTTATCAGACTTTAATCTAGAAGTGGTTCTGACTCATATAATTTGTTTACAATACTAATAGAGTATCTTTGAAGTAAATTTCCATACAAAAGCTGATCTCAGTTGCTGAGGTAATATAAAGGTTTCAATGGGGAACATTTTGACTTTTGTGCCTCCCTTTATTTTTGCACTTGAAGCAGTACCATGGATGCATTTTGGTTTAAAAAGCAGAAAAGGAAACATCAAAGTACCTTGGCCTGTTTAAAAAATAGCAATGCAATTCCAATTGAACAGTCAGACCTTCAGCTGGGGAACAGGTTGGCCTCAGGCCTCTCTCTGTTTCTCTCTCCCTCCTGGAGATGCAACTAACTGAGCTGAAGACAAAACTTCTTAGAATAGCAACCTCCTAATTTATAGTCTTCAAGAGTCTCTCTTGTGAAAATAATTAGCTTTCAGAATTAGTTTTGGTCCTTAACTGAGCCTCATTGACTTTATCTGCTTCATTTGCAGAATTAAGCATGATGTGCAAAAATAATTCAGTAATAGAAACCATTCTTCATGTATCATTTTTCATCAAAGGACACATAATGAATAATAATAACAGACAATTTGTGAAAGGAAAAAAAAAGAGATTCCAATTTAAAAATGGAACAAAACAAAAATTAATTTGGCTTCTCTTAGCATTTTGTCAGAATTAGGACTGTAAAGGAACCATGTGCACCAAGAAGCAGAATTATCACTGAGAAGGGCATTTTCTCATACCCTTATTGACTTTTCAAACCTCTGGTGTAAATTAGTTTAGACTAATTGAATGTGATTCAGCTGTGCCAGTATGCACTAGCTAAGAATCTAGATAATTTTATAGATACCGTGTAAAGATCTCAACTAATGAGTGCTACACTTCTATTCAATTCATTGAAAAAATCAATAAACAACTAAGGAAAGAATTATGAGCATTGATTTGATAGGAAGCAACTTGAACCAGCATTACAAAAGTGAACCAGGAGTCAGGGCCAGAGTGGATCACTTTAAACTGTGCCACTCGCCCTGCATAACCTTGGTTACATCACATGAGGCCTCTAAAGCTTGCTTCTCTTAACACTGAAAAGAGCATAATCACTGAATTACTGGGTCCAGCAGGAATTTCTTCATATCTTTTAATGAAAGATGCTAAATTCAAGTTGCTGTAAGTATCCAGAGATACCATGAGAGCACAAGGCAGAGGACATTCCTGTGATTACTCTTGGACAAGAATAGACCAGCAGATACGAACCCAGACATAAAAACCAGGATCCACTTTTGATGAACAAAAGTGACCAGAAAGAGACTTGAGAATCAAGGGCTGCTCTGTACACTGAGCAAAAGATGACAAAGTGAGAGGGCTGATAGTTACATGGCAGGAATTAACTCAAGGATATTAAGACAAGAAATATAAACAGCCTCTTCTACAGCACACAAGCAGCTGATCAAGAAAAGCTGGCTATGGAAAAAAGCCCCCAGTACAAGGTCTTTGGGTTCATATTATCCTACTCTCTCCCCACCTGCCTTTAGTTTTTAATACTGGCCCAACCTCCCCTAAGTACCCAGTGGAAGACTTGATCTGCATTCTAAGGTACAGATGTTAAAAAATTTCTCCTAGTAAACACTAGATGATTTACCCTGTATATCAAGCTTTTCCTGGAATTTAATTTTCAGGACTGATTGGTGCAATTTTCTGTAAGATTTGAAAGTGTTCACTGGCATGATCTCGTTGCTAAAAATATTTTGGTGATGGGCATATCTGAAATACATCAGAGAAAAGTACTGAAAGACTGAAGCTTAGGAGGGTGGGTGAAAGAAAAACCCAAATGATAAAAATAAAGATAGAAGCTCCATCAGCTAAAAAGAAGCAGATGTATAAGTAAATCTGCTCTAAGGAAAGAATCCTAAGAGGTATATGCACACAGGTTTCCTGAATACCACTCTCCATAGTTTTAAATTCACCAGAGGTATCTCATCTCTGCAGTTCATCACTGTCCATTTGATATTCAGTCATCCATGTCATTTCCCATCTCTTTGGCTGGATACAGATACTGGCCACAGCTGCAACATGTTGAGCACAGTTGGGTACTAACCAGCTGATGTTGCTATTTGCCGAAGTCTCCATCACACTTGCTACACTGCTGATAGCTCTTCTCAGAGAAAAGATAATTGGCCTCAGATTCCATTAACTAGTTGCTCCTACTCCTATTTTGCATTCTGCTTTTACAGTTAATTTGAATAGGCCAGGTAAAATCATGCAAATGGAGAACTAAAGGGAAATTCAGGATAACACTGAAACTTGCACTTGATATGAAAACATCACTTCAGAATTCTCATGTATCTTCCACTTATATCTCATTTGACTAACAGAAGATGCATTTGCTGTGTTTGACAAAAAGCCTCCACTAGCAAGCAACGTGGAGAGAAGATAATTTGTGAAATGCATAAACAAAAAGATAACCCTTCAGAATCCTCATATTGAGTAAAACTGTACACTGAAATAAACTGAGTAATTGTAACTACCCCCTACTGGACTGTAAGGAGAATATTTTCCTACCGAGCATTCATTTTGAATTGGATTAGTGCTAAAAATTACTCAAAAATTTCTTGAAGTGTTACTAATTAAAGATTTGCCCTTCAATGAAAGTGAAGAATTTGGTGCTTTTGAAGTGGTAGATCTGAATTCTGTAATACTTACATTCACCAAGCCTATCCATGAAGGTGGTGTAACAGCTCTATGCCAGCCCATGTATATGACAGTAATTGGTACTGTGTATGCACAAAAAATAGTTTTGAGAGTGGTACACCAAGGCAAGGAGAAAATGATATCTACCATTTACCCACAGTATCAACAAGTGCATGAGACACAAATGCATCACCCTAATGGAAAACTCCATGGAAATGTATATTCATCAAGTGTGATGCACTTCCACAGTCCCACTACAACTGTACCAAAAAATTTATGGGTTACTCTGTTTAGATTCATAAAATACGTCACAGAGGAGTATTATTGACTCTGACAAATGTGAAATTAAGACCTGGAGATTTTCAAAGGATAGTGGACATCTAACTGCCCTTGAAGTCAATGGGAATTATGTACCTAGAGACCACAGAGTGGCTGGACAGACACCTAAAATTATGCTTCCAAAGCCAAATGAATATAAACCAAAAAAAAACAAAACAGATGAGCTTAATCAGTCCTAAGGGGAAACAGCAAAAAAGTAAGCCCTTCATGGTCATTAGTATGTATCAGATTTACTGGTAAATGTGAAAGTCCATGAAACCACACATACCCTTCACAATTACCCTTGGCAGAACAGTGGTCTAGCTCAGGTGATGAAATACAGCTCAGTTGAGCAAGTTTCCCAAAATCCTCACAGGTTCACAGGTTCCCTGTGACAGACATGGCTTGCAGCAACTTCAGGAGTTTCACTCCATCACCTGTCCTTACCCTTGGTTGTTTTAGCTAAAAAAAGTTAGCATGCACCACTCACATGATTTACATGGCTTCTCCCTTTCAAGCCCAGATGAGTAGAGCATCAGGACCACAGAGTGTCCCTGGCCTCTGTTCTCATACCTGGTATGTGAATACAGTGGATTCAGGGCTGTATCACCATGTCTATGTTGTATGACAGCAGCAACACATGCTGACTTTAGGATGCTCTGACAAAAAGGGAAGAGAAAGAGGGGGCTATAGCACACTTCATTCTGCTGGTAAATCTGTGCCTACAGTGTCCATGGTGGGTTTTGCGCCCTTCTGTTGTATTTCAGTCACTTTCATCAACTTTTGATATCGAGAATGAGTTAGGTTTTCCCTCCCTTGGGTACTGAAACAAAGCCTTTACAGAATAGAAACATTTAATTCTGTAACTCTTTTCCAGCTGGTCTATTCTGACTGCAAGCCTTCCAGGGAAAGAAACTATTTGTCACTGTGTCTCTGGATAGGTTCACTATGTCTCAGGTTTGGAGACCTGCTGCCATATGTGATACAACACCCTGAAAAAAAAGGAACTTAAATGATTAAGTGTTTCCTTAAGGACCCTTATTCCACTGCACTGTTTGTGCAACCTATTTCCATTTTGTCCCTGCATACTTTAGTTTCTCTTCTAAATTATAAAAAATAATTCAGGACTGTAACTCCTTTGGGTGTGCACCTGCAAACACACAAACTTGTATACGTGCCTTTGAATAGCTTGTTCCTTGCCCATGAACACAGATTTCTATTCCTTCCAGAAAATAATGCTATGCATTATAAGTACCTCAGAAGCAACTTAAGCTGTAGTCATCAAAAATATCTGCTCCCAGTACTCATCACAGTGACTTCAGGCACAGGCAGAGGCTGTTGAATGAGCTTTGAAACACTTTGGGAAATGGATAATGAAGGATCACAGGCAAAATGGATGACAAAACAGAAACAGTATCAGAATATGCTTCAGAGTGGAGGGCCGAGACAACTTTTGTGGCCCTCAGGCAGCTGTCTCACTGAGAACGATGACATCTTTTTCTAGAGTAACTAGGAAGGGAATGTAGTACCCACAGACCAGGAAGAAAAACATTCTGACTATCCTGAAAGGATCAGGGAAGATATTTCTTCATAAGAAACACCTTTGCATTTGGAAATAGCAAATAGGTTCTCTCTCCTCCAAAGGCTACCATTTGGACCCTGCAGTATGCCAGAGAAGTTGATGGAGTTGCACTGAAAATTACATTTCTTCTTGTCCATGAAAAGGGTCATGAGAGCACTGCTAGGGCTTCCCTTCTCCACAGCCACAAAGACTCCATTTTTACAGGAAGGAAAAAGAGAGGCATAAAGAGAGGGAGAAATAGAGTAAGCTGCCGAGTGCCGGAGGGGAGCAGGGTCAGATGTAAATTTTAAAGTTTATGGACCGGCTTCCTTGCCAATTTGTGAAGGAGGAAAGGAGAAAGGGGATGAAGGAGAAAAGGGAGGAAAGATTTTGCAGAGCAGTAAATCTCCATATTTTTTGTTTATTATATGGTGGTGAAAATTGCAGAGGAAAGTCATTTGTCAAAAAAAATATGACAGTTAAGGATGCTGAGCAAGGGGAAGCATAAGAATATGGGTGACTTAGTGGTTTGAGGCCCATAGTTAAGTTAATAAGGCTTGATCCATGGACAAGACATGAGCAATGGAGAGGCAGAGGTACAGTGGGACTTCCCTCAGGGCTAGTTACCTTTGCCCCTGGAATCTAAAATAATAAGCTGAGAGACAGCAAAGGAGTTATGGGACATGGGGACATAGTTTAATGGTGAACATGGCAATGTTAGGCTATCAATTGGTCTCAGTAATGTTAGAGGTCTTTTCCAAATTTAACAATTCCATGATTCTATGATATTTTGGGATTTATGCCCAGCACAAGGTTCTATCTTTTAGTTATAATCATGCAGGTCCACCTGGTGGGTAGGACCTTCTACGCTTGTAGGGAGATACAGTCCTTCAGTTATGATAACCGGTTACAGCCTTGCAAGGAGAAAACAATCCATAGTGGCTCAACCCCACTTCCAGCATCATGAAGAAGGCAGGCAGATACTCCAACTCCATCACTGTGCCTTAAATTAGCAAAGTTCTGAATTGCCCAGGTTTACCACTCAGCTCTGTCTCCAGTGCTTTCTAGATTCTTGACAGCCTCATTAACTTTGTTTTATGAAGCTACTCCAGTTCATGCAGGCAAGAATCATCCCCTAAATCCTTTCTGTTTTCTTTCTGCTTCCATGAAGCAGGAAGACATGATACCATAGAAATTTATGCCAAATTAACATTACTTAGGAAATCTAAATGGGAGTTTAAACCCCCAAATACAGCTCCAAAACCTGTTTCCAGTTCTGGGGAGAAGAAAAAACCCCACCACCAAAAAACCCAACACCACAAAAAACCAAACCAAACCAACCAACCAAACTACAACAAAAAAAGCCACCACAAAACAAAGAGGATGTAACATGTACCCTAGTGAATCAGATGCATTTCTACATACATTCATTTGTATCTATACCTATCTATATATATACACTCAAAAATGCATAAACATGCACTTCTACAAGTAATGGACACAATACCTGCTCCAGGTCTGCTGCTGTTCTTTTTTTTTCTCCTGTGCCATCTTGATATGGTAAAATGAAGAGTTCAGCAGATGTGGGCAGACCAGGGAGCACTGCGACCAGAACATGCTTGCTTGAAATACCTGTCACCTGATGCATAGACAAAGAGTGGACAGATAAGCAGATAAACATGTGGATGGCACTGAATTCTGAGGCTGTCTTTGTTAAGACATCATAGTATTTATACAAATGATGTAGGGTATATCTGGTACAATGGAGAGAACTTTGTTAAAATCCACTGCAGGTGAAAAGTTGGCAATTAATAATTTCCTGATCTAAGATATATTACTATGTTCTCCAGTAAAATATGCAGGGTCCTAAAGCAATAATGATAAATAGACAAGCTAAAAGGAGCTCTTAAGTAACAATTGCATATGGTCCCAAAATCCAAACATATCCCATCTTTTTTTTTATTTGTCTTGTTGGCTGAAAATCTCAAGCTAGGACTTAAATCTCCCTAATTTTGACATATTAGGCAAAATTCAGAAAAAAGTACCCATAGGTATCACTAACAGGTTCATCTCTGGTCATGGGTTTTAGTTGATGCAAACAGGATACTACACAAACAGATTGTCGAGCTATTACATAGAAAAGGAACCTAACTTGTCACTCAGGAAGTTTTTTTAGCCAAAGGAAGGAGAAACAGAATTTGATGAATCTCCCTCCATTGCCTCTTTGTACTGTGAATTATCCAGAAAATGCACTTAAATCTCAAGGTTTTGATTTAAACCTGTTTTCAAGTGCTGAATTTAGTAGGTCACTTTTAAAGGGAAAATAAAAAGTGCCCTCAGAGATGAGGACAGATCACAGCAGCTGAATGCACCACAGAGGTTCCCCTACAGTAAGGACTCACAAGCCTCTCAGACATTAATTGGGCCTAAATCTATTTAATTCTTCTCCCTTGGTTCAGGAGCAAAGACTTGAAGGTGCTCATTGAAAGAAATGGTGGATGGAGGACAAGGAGTCAGCAAAACTGATTACAAATCACCATTTTCTGAGCTAATTCTGTGCATAACCCAAGTGTGACTGCTGACAGTCCAGAGAAAATCCCGTGGAGCTATAAAAAGGGAATCCTTCCCCTCCACCCCTCACCAAGAAAAAGCACATGGCTTTGTTGCCCCCCCCTTTTTTTTTTTTTGTTTTGAAATGTGGATTTAGAAAAAACCCCCAAACCTATAAATATATAAAAGTCTCTTATATTCTTTTCCAGTATTCTGTGAAGTCAGGGCTTGCATTATTTTCACTTGCCTAACAGGTTGCTTTAACATGTCAAGAAAACGACAAAGTATTACCAGTTAATGGAAAGTTTTCATTTTCAGAGGCTGGGAATGACTTTTTTTCAGAAGTGGGAGACAGGACTCAGAAAATCAATGATATGAGCAAACAGTTATGATCATAACACAAAATACGATATTTTGTGATAATATGAAATTACCCCTACTTAGAGAGAAGATCAGATTTTAGTACAGACCTATAATTTCATATGCAGAATTTTTATCCAAGTCTATGGTATTATGTAATAAGAATGCAATTCTTTAATAAAAGCTCATAGAATGTCTATAACACAGCTATAATTTCCTACTGAATTATTTAGTTATTTGACTCATTTTTATACAGTTTACTTAATTGTCATAGAAATCTATGGGGTTTAACTTTTACAGGAACTCTCACAAAGGCTTGTTTAAGGTGAATCATATTAAGAGGGATAATTAGCTATCAATTTTTTCCTTTTTACTCAAACAACGAAAAGGCTGTGTTTTCACTGCTCTGCTTTGGATATGTAGCCTTGTTACTGTGATTTTACAATTCTTCTGTTTTTTATGGTTTGATTTTGTTTTATTGAGTTGTCTATATTCTGAAAATTCATCCTGAAGATAAACGGATCCTTGAATACTTGATACAAACATAAATATGTCAGAAGAACAAGCTAACAAACCTCAGAAAAATGCTATTTTTCCCCTTTCCTCTTCTTCTCCTGTCTTTTGAGGAAATCTCAGAAAAAAGTCTAAGAAACAATCCAAACAACTTTGCGTGCACCTCTCTGGTGCACAGTGTTTTTCTAGACTTTTTGCACAGATCATACCACAAATGTACATATAAGCTTGTTAATAACATCTGTAATACTTATATACTTTCAAAATCTCAGTATCTTTATGTTTCAAAAAAAGCAGAAACCCTGTTTCAAACAGTTCCTTTTGCTATTTTTCCACTGAGCTGAGAAACTCCAGCCATCTCTTTTAACTTTACATAGCTTCTCAGTTTGAAATCCAAATCTTCAGCCACACTAGAATATTTTTACGAATATTTTTATTTTGTTCCTCCACTAAAGAAGGAAGTTCAGAGCTTCTCTATAGCATTGATGGGAAAATCAGCACCCAATCCTGACCTGTAAGCCTCATGCTATATAAAAGACAAAAAGCACTTTACTGTGGGGCTCTTCTATGTAGTAAAAATAATTTTCTTTTTGGTCTTTTAAGTTTTCTACAGTATATTTGTAATTCCATTAGAATAGCACTACCTTACATTGGAGGCTAACTGAGCACCAGGTTGTCATAGGATGAGATAATTTCACTATCTAAAATTTAGGATGCTGGTCTCAAACACTAGTCTGTTCTCCTTTTCTGGTTGGTAGGAACATAAACACATCCTGAGAGAACAGCTGATCCAGTCTCAATGAAGAAACAAAGCAGAAACTAAAACCACTGTAACACAGGTTATGCGCACAGCTTACCTCCACCAGAGCTCTCTTGACTACTCTGCTCATGTCCCTTCTCCATTCTGGGATATCTGGGTTGTGGTCATCAAGGTTCGGAGAGAATGATAACCTCAGGGACTGAAATTTCTCTGCAGATATAATGACATGGTTGACGAAAAGACTGTGAAATGCCTTATTGCTAAATGAGGGGTCAGAACCCAGTGAAATCTGCTGCAGCTCGTGTTTTTCTTATTCAACCTGTAGATGATGCACAGACTGTCATAGAATCCAGCAGTGTGCCCAAGAGACTCACTGAGAGATTTGGAGAATCTGAGAGATTCACCACTTGAGTGTCACAGAAATGAAAGAGGTGATCAGTCCTTACTTGAGTGGATGAACAGCACTGCAAGGGGAGCTGTCCTGGGAATGTAAATATGTTACCTGCATCTTGACTTCTGGAGCATCAAGCACTGTGAAGGAAGCTGTGATTGTACTCTCACAGACATGCCCCAAACACTCTTAACTGGAAGGGGACAGGGATAAATGTGGGGAGAGGACTAGCCTTGAAAAATGTACTTAATATCTGTTGATGTTAACAGAGATGCCCCCATTGATCACTATGATCACGTGCTTAGTACAAACAGCTAAAACGGGGATTCCCAGTGTTTTTTAGGCTCCATCTACACTCTGTGATATCTGTGTGCCCTAACTCCTTCTGAGGCACAAGTACAAGGTCAAATCAGTACGGATTTCTGTGTAGAAATGCAGCACACAGCATTGATTTACCTTTCAAGCTGAGCAGCTTTTGTGTGAGTTAAGAGGCCTCTGCTGGCCAAGAAGGGGGAAAACCAGCTCACAAAACGAACTAACATTTTGACAATCATGTAGGATGATCAGATAGTGACAGAGTAGATGCAGAGGTTATCTGGGAAAGGGATCAATGTTCTGCAATCATGTCAGTCAGTGGCCTTCAGAGATATTATGCCGAACTGACAACACTGGAACTGAATTTATAATCTTAAAGACCTCTTGTTGCTGCCAGCTAACTTGGCTCTCTAGCTGTAGACTATGGAGAATCCTATGTGAAATGAAAGGGGAAGAACTCACCATACACTGCAACAGTCTTTGTGTCCTGAAGAATGGTGTTTCCTGCTGAGACCTGAACAGTGATGGTGTTCATGCCTTCTACAGAAAATGTGAATGTGATACTCCCTTCCAATGTGATCAGTGGCTGCAAATACATCATAAAAGGAAAAATTAAGTTAATTTGGCTGAAAAGGAAAAGCAAAAATGAGTTTGGATCTCTAGCCTATTGGGATGCTTTGGGGAGTTAGTTCCAGAGTGGAAACTTTAGACTTAGGTGGGGTCCTGTGACATGTGAGCTAATTTTTTAGAAAGGGCACAGGAATCTCAGACAGGGAAGTCCTCCTGAAACTCAGAGTAAGGCACCTGTAATTTCCAAAGGAGCTAAGTTTTAAGATTCCAGTATTTCCTTTCCACTTAACATGTTGGTTGTTCTGGATCCCATGCTCACTCCTCAGAGAGGCCCAGATCCTAATATAAGGGCCTGCAAGACTCTCTGCTCAGGTATCATAGTCCTTTCCCAGATCTAGTTTAAGTGCCTTGTTTAAAGTGATTCAAGGAGGTTGTCACAGAACCAGTCAAATAAAGATTTTTCAGTTGTTGTCTCATGTTATTCTTGGAAACGAAGATACCACTTTTGGTAAATTCTGGTGCTTGAGAGGACACAGATTCCCTTAGCTTGCTTTGCTAGGCAACCAGTTTATCAATGAGTTGTGTCCTCTTTCAGCAGATTCTGCCCTAATTTCTGTTTTTACTTATTAATGATCTCTGGGTGTGATCTTCAAAGCAGCTAGTATTAAGTCAAATTGTTGCCATTGTAGTCTGTAGTAAAATTCTCACTTCAATGAGAACAGAATTAGACCAACTCTGATCACTTATGAGCTTAGGAGATCAGAGAGAAGGTTAAGAGGTGACAATCACAGTCTGTAAGTACCTCTAGGGGGAGATGATTGCTGATAGTACAGAGAGTTCTTTAATCTACACAAAAAGGCATAACAAGATCCAACAGCTTGAATCTGAGACCAGATAAATTCAGACTACAAACACTGTGCATGTGTTCAAAGCTCAGAATAATAAGCTGTGGAGAAATAGTTGGGGGGAAGGCTCAGAAGGAGAAGCAGCAAATTCTCCATCATCTGAGGAAAATTATTAATACAAAACAACAACAAAAGTCAGTTTCTGCTTTAATCACAAAGAGTTAAATAAAGTAGAAGGTATGGATGAAACTCTCCAACGTGCATTATACAGAAGATAATCATGTGTGGTTATGAAGGTTCCTCTTGGCTCTGCAAAATCCATGTGAATCTCTCCCCTCAGAAACTAATTAGGGTTTCTGGGTACTTCAGCCACAAACAGATGTGAAGTAACAGCTACAACGTCTGTGCAGATTTACCAGGACTAGAAGCACAGAGGCAGCAGAATATGATGGATGATAGCCTCATATCTGAGCAGAGCCCAGAGGTAGGGAGGTGTGTTGGGAACCATTTCATCCACCTGTAGCACATAATAATAAAGTATTTTTTGCACATGTGGTTTAGTATAGAGTGCTGGGGCTCAGGACTGGGTTCAGCATATTTAAGGGGAGGCACAGAGCTGATGGCAGTCTTTTCCCTTGTTACTCACCAGAGAAATGAGGTTTAAACTCTAGGGCTATGTAAAGTCAGTTCCAGATATAAAAACAGCATCAGTTTGACAGGTTATTTTCCTTAAAAAACCTGCCAAAACCCCTACATTTTTTATCTTCTTATTACTGAGGAAGGGAGGGTGAAGAAAAATGTACTAGAAATTCCTCCATATTTTGGTTAACTATGTTCACTTGGAGGTAATGCAGGAAGAAAGCTATTTGCAACTTGCATGAAATGGCAATAAACTCTACAGAAACACAAAGCACTACTTACATTTCAGTGTTGGTACCTCAAAGAACCATTAATATCTTGCTCTTTGGTTTATAATTTTCTTGCATACATGACTATATAGAAGCATTCCCAGATCCCTCTCTCCCTCCCACTTCAGTCAGAGGGCTCTTCCAGGATTATTTTGATCTCTGTCAATCAGGAATACAAACCTCTGTGTTGTTCCCAAACCACCAGACATAAGTAAGCGTTCCCACTTGGCTTGGCCACAGTACTGCTGTGGCATTGATCTCCTTGTTCTTCGTGGTCACAAAGGGCAGAGATAAGTGAACATGTTCCAAGGGGCCTGCAGAGACAGAAGCAGCAGGTGAGCCCTCCATCTGAAATGTCAACCTGGCAGGGATACCCATTGGTTTAGGAAAGAAAAGTCTTCCAAATCACCATGGGACATGACAGAATGTTTTGGCTTGGTACCATTTCTAGAGAGGCAGGAGCCTCAGAGAACAGGAGCTACTCCTGTACCTGGAGCTGAAAAACCTGGACTCTCTACTGCACAAACCTCATATAGTCAGGAGCTTTTATGACTTTAACAATAGTGGCAGAGCCCTGCTGTGTGAATATGGCCTTCACTGGGAAGACATAAGAATGTACAGGATAAACAGCTTCAGTGGACATGAAGAATCTCTGCTGATGAAAACTGCTGTGATTTGGTGAACTTCAGCAGAAACTCTCTCTAAATACAGTTATTCACTGAGTGCCTGGATGTTAATGTTACCTTATATTCCCTCCTTTTCATCAATAAACTCTTTTATTTCTTCAGTATAAACAGAACATAATTAATTCGACAAGTGACATTATGCTCAGGGTTACACATTTCCCATTTTCAGGAGACAGATGGGCCTTTGTTGTTAAATCTTGTTCTATAGATTATTTTTAAAAATGTGTTCTGACTGTTCAGCAAGAGAAAAAAGCAATTGTCCCAAGTGACAGAGAAAGAAAAATAAAGAAACCCCAAGTGATACTGGGACATGGGTTCCTTAAACAGATGAAGGCCACATCTACATGTCCCATATCTGTGAGCTCCACAGTGATGAGAACCACAGTCACAGCCTTGCATTGCTCCTGTGGAGTTGAGATCCATTGCTAGAGGATTTTATATATTTCAGGGGAGGATCTTTCAGGCTATAACCCAGGTATGAATCACCACTTAGACCTTGCTTTTCAGCCTAGAGGAACACCACACTCTGGAGCAAGCATCCTATGCAGCACAATAGGCAGACAGAAGAAAAAATCTCCCAGATCAGACTGTATAAACAATGTCAGAATAAGGACCAGTCTCATGTTAGCATGTTCCTGGTTTCTTACTGAAATGGATCTTTCTCTGTGCTGTAGACACAGCCGCTGCTTAATCTGAAGCAGCCCAAGTAAGAGTTATCCATAATCATACTAACCAAAGCCTGCTATAATCAGACTATGGATCATTCTTCCTTTTATAAGTAGCAGCCAACACTCTGGAAAATTCAAGAGAAGACACAATTTCATCCATATGATTTTAATGACATTCCCCTTCTCAGACCCATTTCCATGACTAGGCTGTGCTGCTTTCAGCAAGACTCTTAAGACCTGAAAAACAGCAATTTCCCAGCCTAAATATTTCACAGCTCTGGTATCCTTTGGGGTGTTCATCAAATGCCCAATGTCAGCACAGCCCTACAGGGGAACACATTTCCTAACACTGGGTGCAGTGACAGCTGTGACAATGGAGACCATGAAAAGTTTGATGCACTCCAATGTAACTGCATTGCTGTTCTGAATAGATCCCAAATGATCCTGCACAGCAGAGTGCCCAGCACCTCCTTGGACCTTCACCATATGCTGGCTAGGAAACAACATAAAGAATGGCTCAAGCAACCCAATTTTGCCTGAGTATTTCTGGGCACACAGCACTTCGGTCAAGGTGGCTGAAATGCTGAACTGTTATCTGGCCAGCAGATGGGGATAGCTCACTCTGGATTGCCCCTCAGCTTGGTAGAAGACTGCTTTCACACAGGTAAGTTTGAAGAGGATTCAAGAAAATTAATTTCTGAGCTTCATGCAGGGCCATGGAGGCTACAGACCTTCACCTGCCCCAGGAAAAAAACCTGTGTACAAGTCCCACACAAGAGAAAGGGAGAAGCTTCTCAAAAGGCTCATTTGTTCAGGTGATGGTTTTCTGAAGCATTCAGGCAAAGGCATAACTAACTTTCCAGCAGAAAATTTTCACATCAGGACAGTTTAGAGACAGCCTGTTGGCTGGAGCAGTTTACATACAGAAGTTTACACTGTCCATCCAACTCAAAATGCTCCTATCTCACAATAACCTGCATTTCTGGACCAACTGCAGCAGAGGCACTGCTTCTGTGCACTGGCCACATGGCTGCAGCAGGATGAGGAGGGCACGGGATGAAGCCTTTACTCTTATCTTGGAGATCACAAGCACTGACGTTCAGTGTCTGTAGTTTTTCCCCAGGAAGACTGCTGGCCATTGGCAGGGAAGAGTGCTGGAAGGCCCAGATCTGGCTGCAGACACTCATATATTAACCCTCTAACTAGGGTTCACCCAATTTGTAGCCCTCCTTAAAACTCTGGATATTCAGGATGCACGCTGCTTTTCTGTGGATCTTAACAATACAATGTGTGTGTCTATTTTAAGGACAGATATTTTTATAAAACTCCCCAAAGGCCAAGCTCAAACCCCCCAAGCAAAATATTCAGCAGAAGCTGAGTGGCAATGCAAGTATTCAGTTAGGATTTAGAAGCTTTTGTGGATCAGGGTGTTAGACTCTGAAGGAGGTTGGATTTACTGCACAACTCTGTCCTCAGTAAATCTATTGCTAGTCTGAGTGGCACCATGCTCATTTATAACCTGCTTTGAAGTCCCTAATTCTTGTCATGGAGAGAAAGGTGAGACACATCCCTTAGACCTGTCACTTCTCCAGGGATTTGGGAACATGTAATCTGGGTCTGGCTGCAACGATCACTCCATATTTGAGTCCTATGCTGGCATTACCTATACAAACCACAAAACCATAAACTATCAGTTGCTAAGTCACACAAACAAATTAGAATATTGTTTATTCTCTATACAGCTTAAACAATCAGAATGGTTCATAAGCCTTCAACGTCTCAAGAAAATGAATTAGAAAAGCTATACAGCCGAAAGACACTATGAGTGAGTGAAGGCTGGACACCTGCCAGCTGAAGGTGTTTTTCAAGGGAGACATTCAGGGAGATGCTTCTCTAGTGTTCCTTCATAAAAATCCTATCTCTCACAGCCATACCTCCCACTGCTCCCATCTGTGGATACAATGGTGCACTCTGAAAGAGCTGCCCTCTTTCCCTCAAGAGGCAGCTGCTTTCATGCTGTATGAACGAACTCCAAAACTAGTGTTAAACTATATGGAATGTGCTAAATTATCTAGACAATGTTTCAAGTAAATTTGGTAAAGGGTAAGCAGTATTTCTGTAAACATAACTTCATGTTTTGGAATTTCCTTTTTTTCTCAGTTTATCTGGCACAGAGGCACACCGTTGCAAACATAAATAATAAACAAAAACCCCGCAGTGTAAAAAGAAAATTATGGCCCCAAACAAAATCCATTAGGAATGTTACAAAATTTCAATAAATAAGTTGACCCTTTGAGTTCATAACTATGTGCTAGAATAAATATGAAAGAATACAATATTGGTTTTATCCAAGAACTTGAGATACATTTGAGTTGTAAATCAGAGAGATGAAGTATAAAAATGTTAAAAAGAACAGCAGAAAAGCAATGTGAAGACATTTTTTTCTTGCAATACTATTTAATACAAAGACTTTGGTTCCTATGACAACAGAAAGACTAAAATGCACTGGTTTCCATCCCAGAGGTGGATGTATTTCATTAGAGGGCAAAACACATGTACAAAGTAAGAAAAAAGTGACTAAAGATCCCTGGGTTTCTTTGTTGTTCTGGAAGTATAAGCTTGCTAATGAAAGTTCATTTCAGAAAGGGCTGAGCAGTCCTTTGAGGAGTCCCAGTTTAGACCACCCTAAATTAGAGGTGGAATATTATTTACAAAGTAGAAGTTAATGGTTAGACTCAATGATCTTAGAGGTCTTTCCCAACATTAATGAATCTATTCTGGAATCATCAGTTTGTCTGGAGGACAGACGAACACTCATCATATCCCATCACTCTGGACCCAGTTGCAAAATCCCAAATGTCACCTCTAACTACAAGTAATAATGTTTTAAAGAACAACAGAAGCCAACAATGATTATGAACATACATACACGTTACGTGCAGGTAGAGGACAGCGTTGTCAGAACCCAGGCTGTTTTCCACCAGCACAGTCACCCGGAATATGCCCACGTTCTGATAGATGTGCTTGATCCCATCTTCTGTTGAGCTGAGATTGGCATATGACACAGCAATGCCGTCTCCAAAATCCACCTGAATGAGGGATCTCTGGAGGTCTCCCTGTAGTGACAGAGAAAGGATTGAAACAGGCTCTACTTTACTTTTCAGAGACTGGATCAGTGAGGTGACCAAGACCAACCACAGGATAGTAACAAGGTCTGATGTTACCAGAGGAAGGGTGGTCCCTTCATCAACTTGCTCGGTAGTCCAGTGGACAGAAAGTGGACCTCCCTTGAGGCTGACTCAGTTGCACTATGAAGGAGGTGTCCTCCAAGGCGTGTGCTGTAGCCCTGCTTTCCCAATCATCAGGGGGACTGGAGGATCTGATTCCTTTCCCTGGGTTACACAGCCTACGCTGAACTCTCCACCAACCATGGCTGCTAAAGGTCCCTTTCATGTAAGATGCAATAACTTGTCTTACATTTAAACATCCTCACTCCTTTAGGAAGTCCTCCCAGTGGCTCCGCATGATGCTTACGCTGGCTGTGCTCACACTTGCTGGCTATTGCTACGGAGCAGCTCGCTCCACAGCCTGGCTGAAGCAGCAGCCACTGCCTGGAATGATGGAAAATTAATAGCTGAGGGAAGTTCATAAAATTGGCTGAAAGGACATTTCATTTACTTTGGTTTTGTTTCCTTTTCTTTTCTCTTTTTTTTCCTCTTTTCCTTTGAGAGAGAAACAGTCCTCTGGATTCCCAACTGAAATGAAAGGTACCCACGTAAATGTCTGGGATCAGGGAGGTTTCCACATCAGAAAGAGATATGTGAGTGCATGAGACTATAGGAGGGAATTATAACAGAAGCTTTATATTCCTCATGTTCTCTCAGTCTTTTTATAGCTTGTGAAGGCAGAAATAGTGGAACCTTGCCTGAATGGAAAGCAGGAGGAGCAGAACTGTACCTGGGGATGGCAAGAGTGACAAATTTTCCCAGATAATCTCTTTGTATAGACTGAAACTGTAGTTGTTACACTGCCCTGGCACCCTACTGGAAGGTGTGTTGCTTTCAAATAGATGAGACAAAAATAACTGTGTTGCTCTGTTCAGGAGGATCACAGACTGAAGGTGTGGCAGGGGATATGGTCTCTAAGTGCAGAGTCATGTCCTTCGTTGATCTTTATTATTTAAAAGATGTGCAGTTTCAAGCATGGTGCAGTGCTTTGGGCACTTCTGCCTGTTTGACTAAGCCAACAGAAGCCATCAAATGGGATATGCTTCCATAGCCAGAAGAGAACATACATGAGCTCCTCAGCTCTGAAACCCTTTCAGACAGGGGCTGTATTCTCTCAAGTCCAGTGGTGGACTCAGACCAAATACAGAGATCCCTGAAGTACCCTTAGATGTTCTCCCAGTTCTCTAGGTCCATCATCACTAGGGTTTTAGTCATCATTTCTTACTAAAAAAAGAGATGATGCCTTTGAACAGTAAAACCATACTGCTGAGACAAAAGCTGCCCACATGGTTAAAACTGCATCACCATAGCGACCCTGCTGGCTTTATCATCTCTGATCATATCTGAGGTCATGTAGTTGAAGTCTGTTTCAGGCTATGGAATATTCCTCCACATATTTGAGGTACCAGAGGAAAATGAAAAGGATGACAGCATTTTAGAATAGCCTTATTTTGGCAAGTGTCAAAATCTGTGTTCTAATGAACGTTTTTTTCTCTTGTCTTCATTTTGTCCACAGGCAGGAAACCCATGGTGTCTACAGGTGCAGTCAGGAAAAGGAGCCATTTCTAAGGCATGCAAGATTTAGATTTCAATTTTTCTTTCAAATTCCCTGGGGAGAAAAGATGCTGACAGAAACAACCAAAAATCTAATTAGAGAAGAGCTTCAGTTGCTATTCCCTCAGTCTTTTTCATTTGTCTTGGCCTTTCTTGTTTTGTTTTAAAACTCTTTGAACTGGAAATACATTTTCCATTGAGTAAGATCCAGGCTATAACACTCCTCTGAAAATGCCACATTTTGAAAAGCTGACATTTAAAATTCTAGCTTAGGAAGTGGGAGAAAAAAGTCAGGAAAACAAAAAGACTGTGTTTTGATTTGTTCTTACGTTTTATCTGTGCCAGGTAAGAGCATAGGCAGAATAAGACAGGAAGAGAAAGCAGGTGAACCAAAATCAAAACATTTCCCATACAGCCCACATCTGATCTACATCAACCTCAGCTGTCTCTGCCTCCGGCAGCTCTCCAGAGCCACTTGCCAGTGGTTGTTTTTACCAGGAGTTCTGCTTTGCAAACAATTTGATGTATATATCAAAAAAACCTCTCCTGTTGCTTTTTCCAGCTTGTCCTTGTCATTTTGCCAAGCTCCATACTACATGATAGGGTTTTTCAGAAGCTTCTAGCTAAATTAAGGCAGACACAAAACCCCCTGCATTACTTCTGCAGCCACAGCCAAGCACTTGGATGCAACCAGCACTGAGCTATCTTTGGGCAGATTCTCTGGCCTTCATTGTGAGAGGTCTTTAATGCCAGTGCTCTTAGGCATGAAGGGAGAAATTTTCCAAGCTGGTTGCTTATAATGATATCTCTGCATTCAGCTCTTGTATACTACTCACATGAAGCTAACCAGTAAGCAATTACAATACCTGAAAAACTGAAAGTACTGAAAGTACCTAGTACTTGTACTAGGTGTATGCTATATGCACAAGCTTGGATACAACCTGAAATACACTGCAATCTTGATAAAGGCTTTTGTGCAGCCGAAGGCTTAAGCATATGCTGAACTTTAAGAACAAGGGCACTTCTTTTAGTCTAAAACAAGCCCTGAGAATTAAAAACAAGTTTCCCAAGGCCCCGTATTATGCTCCTTACCTACCTATACAACATTTGTTGCTAAAAGGTAAATCATAAATTTACTGTTTTTAAGGGATTTTCTCATTAAATGTCCAGAGGTTTTTCAAGCATACACAAAATATTCCCTTCTCCCTCCTTCCCATTCCTGCCTCCCAAGCCAAGTGCACATTTTTCCTGTATCTTCACAAAAGAATAAAGCTCTAGAGCGTACTCAAGACCTGAATGTTTCCAAAAAACTCTGTGAAGCTTCCTGCCTCAGTTTACATGAAGAAACAGCCCATACAGTTAGCAACAATATTTTTACATTTTGATTACTCTTACGCAGCTCTCAGACTTTTGGTGGATGTCAGATGTGAGACCCACCTATCAGGATCCTCTCTCAAACACTCCATCAGAATCTTGCCCAGTAAGTATTGACTTCAAGTATTTACCATGAGGGTGGTTAAACACTGGAACGAGTTGCCCAGAGAGGTGTTAGATGTCCCATTCTTGCTAATAGTCAAGGTCAGGTTGGACAGGGCTCTGAGAAACCTCATCTGGTTGAAGATGTCCCTGTTCATTGCAGGGGTGTTGCACCATATGACCTTTAAAGGCCCCTTCCAACTCAAAGTATTCTATGATTCTATTTGTATCTAAATGGAAGTATTAAAACAATGAATCAAACGCAGTTCAAGGTTTTTAACTTTGTCTCCCGTTTCAGATTTCATTTTTAAGTCTTTCAATTATGCACTGACTTGTGTGTCTTCCACAGAGATGTAGACAATATATTTAATTATCCTTTGCAGGAGACAGACACTGCTGCTGTTGGAGTGTTTTCATGGATTAATTTCATTGTGCTTTCCTTAGATTAACCCCTTTCCCTCTCTGGAATTTTCTTGTCACCAAAAGGAATCATCCATCAAAGATATTTTCACTGGAACTGAATATCTACATATGGAATATCTTTAGTCTAGGTCTGTTTAAAGCATATTCCTAATTTTAAACAGATACTAAAATATGACTTGATTAAGTACTGAAAAACATGCTCTCCTGTGTAAATCCCTGCTTTTAGAGTTATGCTCTTAATTTTTCAAATCAGAAACTGAATAGTAAGGAGTTGTTTATCAGAGCAAATAGGTTGATACTTTTCACATGTACTTCTTTTTCAACAGCAAACAGTTAAGTGTACTGATCACATCATTCATCCTGACTGCCAGTTGTGACAGCCCAACTCAGTTATGAGCTATTTCTACAGGAGTATATCCTCCATGCCCCAAAGGAATCAATAGGTACAGCCCTTCAGGACTATGCAGAATAATTCAACTTGTGTGACTGGAAGTGCATTACAAGACTGTAGTGCTGTGTGTCATCATGAAGGCGAGGTCCACTTTCATACATATTCATGGAATTTCAACAGTGAATTTAAAAATGTGCGAAAGGCTCTGATTTCTCGCAACCAGCTTGTCATCATCAGCAACACAGAAAATGCAATTATAATTCAGATGACAGCGGTATGGGGGAGGTTATATACTGGTCTTTCATCTGTGTGTTATTACAGGAGTGTAGTGTTGTTAATAAGATAAACAGTCATGATTCAGCATGTGCATTGAAATTTAGGATGAAGGTTTCATATTTCTGTAATCATTACTAACAATTGTGATATCAAAAGAGGGAACACAGTAGAACACCACAAAAAATACAGACTATTCTTTTAATAGCTTTGCATCTTTACTTGGAGTACATCAACAATCAAAACAATCCTAATGCTAAGCTCATCTCCAGGAGCTTCATCAGTTGAATACTGAATTGCACTGAACAACAGGGCTGAGGTGGGAAATGATAAAGGTATTTTCCCCCCCAGCAGTATCCCCAAGCTCATTAAATGGACCTGAGACACAACGTACTTTGCACAGCCATGTATTAACACTGTCATTACAGAAAGACATAACTGTCTTTAGGAAATTGGGGGCTTCATTTGTATATTTGCATGGTAGAGAGTTCTCTGGCCTTATGAACATCCAGTACATAAATAAAAGGCACAGGGAGGGGATGAGGGAGAAAGCAAATCTCTATTTTCAAATGAGGGAATAAAAAAGCAGAAAGTTTAAGTTTCTTACTCAAGGTCATGCAGAAGGAGCTCAGAGTGCAGTTCAGGAATGAGTTCAGATTGCCTGAATTCTAGCCCATGGCCTGAAGTGTAGGAACAAATGAGCTTTCCTTGCACATTAGCCTAATCCAAACATCATATAGCAGCAGCAAGCAGTTAAAAGCAAGCTAAAATCTACTTTCAGTGGAGTGACTTTGTCAAGTGAGAACTGAGGCAGACCTGGAATGTCAAAGACTTCTGGCTGTCATTTTATCAAGATAAAAAATAAATTAGAGGAGGCAGTTTCTCTGTGAATTATCTGTAATGAAACAGCCAAAGCCCTGAACCTTCCTGCCCTGAATGTCTTTACCATCCATTTCCTCAGCAAAGATGTATGAGCAATCAGATGAAACAAGTTTGAAAGCCATTGTGTTGAACAGTGTTGTTCTGCAGGCTGCAGCTTTCGATGTCTCTGCTGAAGCAGTACAGCAAGCACTAGTGTCTGATGTTCATACAAATAACTCTAACATACAAATAACAATTGTGTTTGTGACAGGCAAGAGACCTACATGACCATGTGATGAGAAAGGCACACAGAAACAACACCCACTTAATAAAATTCCTCTATTTTCTATAACAGAGAAGCAAAATCTGTCAAGGACATGAGGTCAAATAACTTCAGTAGGAAAAGTGGCTTTGTAACTTTGGGTTTTTTTTGGTTTCTTTTCTTGCTGTCCAAGGATTCAGGTTGTTTAGGCTGAGAAGCAACTCTGTTGTTGAATGCTGCAGTGTGATAGGCACCAATCCTGAGTCTGTGCGTGCAGCACAGGCCAGGGTAAAGTATTAACCTTTAAACTGGCAGCATTTTGAGGCGGTGAAAAATTTTCTTTTGAGCACAGATAGTTTTCTCCTGTGCTGACAATGAATGACAAAAATGCTGGTGCTATTCTTCTTATCTCAATGGAAATTTAAGAGCATAATTACCAGCTTGTATTACTTTGTACAATGGAGCATATGCTAATTAGGAAAGGAAATACTGAAGTTTTCTTGCTGTTGTCACCCAGTAAGAATATCATGATGATTATACATAGATTAATCAGAGAATTATCTTGGAAAAATCTTTCCAATAATGGGACTATAGATATCAAGTGCAAGGTGACCTTATGAACAGTTTTTAGGAAGTCATATAAAAATCCTAAAGCTAACAGGAAAGTTAGATCACTTTGGAAAGCATTCTTATATTAAGATCATTGTAATATGAGCTGTTAGTTGTTTTGCTTTTAATGACATTTATATGATGCCAGATATAAATGCTTTACAGGAAAATTTCATGACAGTCAGGGTTAGAGAAACAGCCAGAACCCCAGCACCCAGAAATCAGCACTGCTCTATGTTCTGGCTTTGGTGCCTGCCCCCTCTCCTCTCACACAGACTTCAGTGATTATTTTCCTTTTGTGTCTTCTTCAATAGCAGAACATTTCTGAAAGCCTTGTCCTTGTTTCTCTTCAGGCATCTTTTACTGACATTGTGTTTTTGTCAGAATGCACAGCCATGGCCCTCAGCATCACCACAGGCACAAACAGGCTCTACAAGAGACTGCTGCGTTGTGGTTCCTGCCCCTGAATCCCACATCTGGGTAAAAACATCAGTTTTTTGCTGCTGCCATTTGCCTCTTCCCACCCGCTTAGTAATCTGCCCCACTACAGAGATGCAGTGACTTTTCAGGCCCTCCAGTGAGCCTGCCTTGCAGTTCATTCTTCTCTTCAAGCCCAGGTGGATTCTCAGATGAAGCAGAAAGCCCTAGAAAGATATCAGGAGTACAAATCTCAAACAAACTCTTGTACCTTGCCTCACCAGCTTTTCTTTTTTTATCATTTTCCGGAAGATCAAATGGAACATGGACATGAAAAAAGAGAGCCAGAAGGCTGCAGTTTAAGGTACAGCTCTGCAGCTCTGAAGTCTTAAAAAAAACTCTCTCAGAGGGATACAGGAGACATCAAGATGCAAAGGGAATACGACATAAGGAAAGACCATTATTTTTTCACACCCTAAAAGATATCAGCTGTGGCTCACACTAAAAGAAGAGTCCTTAATAGATTGTAGTACTTTGAAATATTGACCACCACTCCAGGGGGAAGGGTTGGATAGGACACACTTTTTTCATATGCCACTGGGGAAAAAATGTGCAAGGTGACATATCCACCCTTTTTAAACCTGCCTAATGCCTTCCCTTCAGCAAAAATGGAGTGGCATAGATTTTGTGGATACTGAACATCCTGGATTGTACCATCCTGTATATCTGTGCAGGACAGAACTAAATAGAAATTGGCAAATTCTTGTTTTCTGATACCTGTGCCTTGAATGCAAGGAAAAGAAACTTCCCTTTGAGAAGTGGGGTCGGACAAAACAGTCTCCAGAAATCCCTTTCAACCTCAATTATCCTCTGAAATCAATATCCCTTCTGTAAAAGGATGGATATTCTCTTGATGGGCTGTTTAACTTTTTCAGTGAGTTGTGTGATTTTTATTACTGAAACAGTTAATCTGGTAAATGTTTTAGTCTATATACAATTATGCTACTATAACTACATTTTATTCTCCTATAATTTGCATATAGCTGGGCAAATATTCTTCTTTGCTGAATATTTCTTTTGTTGCAACATCCACCTGAAGTCATTGCCAGATTGGGTAAAATTCACCCAAAGGTTCTACTGGTTGCTCTGCTAACTCTTTATGTTGACAAATCTAGAAGCAGGAGGTCAAGATTCATCTAACAGGGAGAGTAATCTGAAAGGCTGGAGGTTGATCAATACTGTTTCAAGGCTCAGAGTGATTCCCAGCCTCTTCCTTATCATATAAACTGAAAGAAGAGCTCCCTTTAGATCGCCTGGGAAGCTGACACTCATCAAAACGTACTGTATGTACTCCTTGACACACACTATGAGAAAGAAACCATCTCATACCGAGAAGGTGTTGCTTCCCGATCTGGTGAATACTGAAGCAGGGTTATCAAAAAAGATCAGAAAGAACAGCAAAGACAGAACAAATCACAGCAGGTCCCTGTATGACAGAGCAGTTCAGGGTATTCTTATATGGTATGTGAGCCTTAACACTCACAGAAGAAAGTGCAGGACATTTGTCCTGAGTTTCCCACACTGTGGGTGATTGTCTCTCCCTCTGACTATTGGCATAATTCTTTGAGAGTTTTGTGGCTGACTACTCAAATTATCCATCTTCTTTTCCCAGTCTGTTTAAAACTTAGCTGAGAGTAGAAAGCTAATGCAATGGACAGGGGTTTTTTTGGTTTGTTTTTTTTTTTTTTTCTTAAAGTCTGGAGACTTTGTCTCTTGCTTTGGACTTTTTCTTCTTCATCTTTAAATGTAGAAATCAATAATTTAACCAGCTGAAATTATATGTTCACACTGTCATTATAGCATCTACAATAGCAATGTTGTATGACTGACAGTATGGACATAAAGTGACCATATTTTGCAGAAAATAAACATTCAAGTCAAACAACTGCTTCAGGTTAAATATGATTTATCATATGCTATTGCCTTTACAAGTCAGGACACCTGTTTGCTGGGGAAAGTACCAATAAAAGAGATATAACAAAAATCATTTCTCTTTCCTTGCAGACGTCATTTACTATGGAGAGGGTCAGAAGTAATTTCCATAAATGCTCCAAGCTATAAAGGGATGTACATTGTGCCCTGGTGCTAGAGCTTACTTGTTTTAGGATTTATTGTCCAGTTACAGAGGAAAAGGGGTAGAAGTTTAAAGAATTGAACTGGATTAGGTAAAAAAAGAGAAAACTGTTTCTTTGTGAATGTTCTTACTTTTGTGTCTACAATTAAACACAGATAAAGAAGTGCTGAGAAGGAAAAACAGGCAAAAAGATTTAAGTATTTTTTTCTATGAATTCAGAAATGGAGGGAGCAGAGCAATGAAACGCCAAGTTAAGTTACAGATGTAGTAAAAATACAGATCAGAGTCTGAATAAACTTCACATTAGCAATGAATTTCAGCCTTAATCCTGCTGATGACATCTTGAGATTTCACCCATAAATGCCTAAACAATATGTACCAGCTTGTGTGATGGGACACATCTGCACATGTACTGTTAGCCATCTTTGGATGAAAGTCAGTGGCAAGTAAAAATGGAAATTCAGTTTCAAAAACAGCAGAAAGCCAAAAGCATAGTTAAGGGTGGGGATCAGAATTCAAAACTGCACTCTTCAGTTCTACTGTGAAACTCCCAAATTAAACCAGTTCCCAGTTTTTATCAGCTTCTCCCAGCTATTACCCTATGCACCACAGTACTCCAAACAGCCTCTCCATACACCATCCATGACACTTTAGAGCAAACTCCACCCAGCTACATCATGGGGCTGACTGACTTTATACCACCCTCTCCTGGTTCACCTCCTTGCAAACTTTGTCTGCGGTGAATCACACTCAAACACACCCACAGGGCTTGGAATGCAATGTAAAATAGAGCTTACCTCTTCCAGCTGCACCAGGAAAGTGACATTGTGTCCTTGCTCAGCTGTCAGTCTGCCATCAGACGTGATTATGCGCAGGCCCTGGGGGGGTTTGCCGGGGCACTGCTGTGGTTTTGCCGTGTACCGTTCCCGCACACCGTCCGTGCAGTTATTGGAAACAACCTTCCGGTATCTGAAAAGGGACAGCGAAATGCGTGGAAGACGCTGACAAAGAGCATAACAGGGCTAAATGGGAACAGGTTTCTTTAGGCTAAGGAGATTGGAAGAACATGGATTCCCAAATATATTTTAGCACTTGCCTCAGCCAAGTATTCCTCATGTGCCTAAAATACAAGTAGTTAATCCTGTTGTTAATGGCACGCCATAATTTCCTGCATAGCATGTCTTGATGCAATATATTTATAAATTGCCTAAATTATAAAGTTATATCATCTGTTACATGTTAAATAACTATAAAGTTATAAATAAATTATATACATATGCAGTATGGAATTGTATTCCATTACTACACTGTTAGGCAAAGTTTAACAACTTTTCTCACATGTTCTCCACTTCCTATTGAAAGGCCAGTGTCTCTAAAGATGTAAGCCTTGAGAGCTGGAAAATAAGAGTTGAAGCAAAAAGCAAATTCTGCCTGACTCTGAGTGTACAAAACCCCCAAACACATCTTAGGTTGCTTTGTCTGCTTTAATCACTTGCACCATAAATGAAGTCTGTCAGTATCTTAACTTAAACTACATCTTCCACTGACTCCCAAGAGAGCCAAAGAACAATCAGCATTCAGGCTGGCTGCCCATCTATTACTTTAGTCCACATATAAATCAGTTTCATCTCTTTCCACTAATTTATTTTCCATTTTTTCTGCCTCCCCTGATCTCACATGATTTTAAGAGGAGACTTTTCTGAGACTAATGATTTGGTCTTTGCCTTATGGTTTTGCCCCCAAGTTTCTTTAAGGCATTATCTTTCAGAGAAAAGTCTGGAACATACAGGAGGGAAGAAGAGGTTCCAAGGGCTTCAGCCAGCTTTGAGACACCTATAGTAAATGTAGCTATAGTTGTAATTGGGCTAAGTCCATATGAGTGCTTTAGCTAAATAAAGGTTTGTGTGCCACTTACCCAGTGCTGTTGAGATAACTCTGTCCAAGGCTGCAGTCCTTTGACAAGGAAGATGGGTTATACCAAAATGCTGGTAAACACTGGCCATTGCTGTGACGTTCATATCCATAATCACTGTTTTAACATTAAAAGAAACCATAACATAAAAACCCAAAAGAACAAATACAGGTATTAGCTCATGTCCTCTGCTATTAATAAAAGTTTTGAATTTTCCTCCCTCTGTTTACTAGGGTTTCTGATTTTTAACACTGATAGAACAGATTGTTTATTTCACTTCAGCTTTTTTTATTGGGGGAGTTACCTTGCATATATCCCAATATAAACAAGCAGAACCAGACCAGGTAGTTTATGAGCTATTACATCAGGTGTTCTCTTTCCACAGACTAATAGGGCTTCTCAGGATCAACTCTAGGCTCAAATACAATAAAAACTAGAGATCTAAGCCAAGTTAAATCACCCTTGCCTCAATCATATCTTAGAAAACTGAAGTACCAAAAAGCTAATTGTATTTGGAAATTATATTAAATAGAATGTAGAGGAAAATTTACACCACTGAGAGAGATCTCACCTGAAGGCATTAACAGAGAATTTGGTAATGGAAAAGAAGGCTGTGATCTTCCATTCTATTTTTGTTTGGAAGAGGAAATGTTACCAAAAATCATGTCTTAGAAACAATTAATCAAACTGTAATCTTTTCACACAGTTTGGGTTTAGCTATGAATAAATTTGCTTTGTCTTCACTAAACAAAATTTCAAATTGTTTCTGACTCCAGGTAAACAAAGGTTCTATAAAAATTGTTATTTTTATAGAATAAACAAACAAACCCCCTCTTTAATCAGTATTCCATTCACATGTGGTGTTACTTTCCAGCCACTGAGTAATGAGGACTACTTGGTTGGATAAGCACTCTTATTCCTTTTACTAAGCTTTTACTAAGTCCATAATGGAGAAGTTAATGGGATTTCATTTCTGGAAACTGCTATAGAGAGTCCACCAACTCCATTCCAATACTCCAGTTGTAACATAATCCTTGATCTTAAAATGGCACTTATTTGCAAAGCACTTTTTAAAATTATTATCTTTAACATCTTGGTATCAAGTAGCCTGATATTCTTTTACTTCTGCCTCAAGTTTTCCTTCTGAATTGAGAAAAAAAATGTTTTGACGTAATCCTAAAAAGGAGAAATTAGAAAGATGACATTAAGCAAAAGAAAATTAAAGCTGCATATCGCTTGGGAAAACTCCTAAACATCTATTAGGCTGCATGACTGCTCCAAAGGAACATTTTGGCAGCTGTGGTGCTTGGGATATCTACAACAAGTAATTGAGAACATACTCTAGGAAACAGCAATGAAGTAGATGACCTAAATGGTCTTTCCCTCATTTTTTTTGACTGAGTTTTCACCAATCTATTTACTCAGATGCTAGTGACTGAATGTTGCTTAATTGCTTTGGAAGCATCAGCCAGCCTGTTCTCCCACTGCCATGTGCTTCTATAATCATCCTTGTTGGAATAAGAACACTATAGCTGCAGAATACACTTTGTAATGAAGAATAACACCATTCTGATTTGCTTAGAGAAAACAAATATTTACATACAAGTGGGACTATTGTATTTTTGTAATTCATTTGTAAACACTCTGCAGCACTGTATTCCTAAGTTATCATGTGTGACTCTAATTAAAAAGCTGTAAGACTGTACACACACAATATTCTGTAATCAGTTAAGTGAAAACAAAACAAACTAATACAGTGAAATCTGCCTCAGAGGGGATCAGTACTCACAGCCTAATTTAATGCAGTAGTCTGAGATTTCTTACTTTACATGCATCTAGATTCAAGCTACTATTTTTGTTCGTAATACTACCTGAACATCTGGGCAAGCTAAGCTTGACTTAACTAGTTTTGACTGTACTTAGATCACATTTCTCAAAGTCAAGAGAAAGAAACCATAGGATTTTCCACAGCAGAAACAGTTATAAGCACAGAAGTTTCAGTGTTGTTTTCAGGCTTGCAAATCATCTGGCTCATTAAGGCCCTACAGAAATATCATCCCAGTAAATGACATGAATTTCTATTCCATATCCCTCTACAGATGCAGCAGCTGCCTGTTCACCTCCGCAGTCTTGGAATCTAATGAATTCCTTGGCTACAGGCTGGTGCATGCAGAACACTGATGCTGACAACAAATTGCTGCCTACAATTTGGCACAACAGGCTTTGTAGCAATCAACAAGCATTAGCATCAATTGGATTGCCATAGCACGAGCCAGTACAGCAAAATCTGGAGATGGGGAAGGCAACAGCCTCAGACTGCAATCAGCTAGCTGAGTCATTGCCTGGTAACTGGGAATTGGAATTTGCATATATTGATGATATTTTGTGCCTGCCTGAAAAGAACTCAGGTGACATAGATAATGTACCTATCAAAAAGGAGTGGAGCATTTGCCATCAGGGATTGCTTTATCAGTATGAAGTAACCTATCCTGTGGCTCTCACTGATTATGTTTTTACCTTGGCCAATTTCACTGGTTTAACTTGGAATCCTATTGGTCTTAGTCAAGTAAAATTGCAAGTTCTTCTCTGTAATTAGATACAAATTCATTCCAGAATTTCTGCATCCCTACTCAAAGCTTCCGATAAATGCCTTTATCTAATGTTATTTCCAGCACAGTTAATAATCAAAAGAAAAGAAATTCCTTAAGGAAGTCTGTAGTTTGAATACAGAACTGATAAACATACTGTCATGGAAGAACTGTTAATTCGAAATTATTAAAATCACACTGCCCTAAGATATAGAAATAACCAGTTAAGTCAGATGAGTGACTGCCACATGCATGCCATCAAAAAACCAAGAGATGACTTAGCATGTAGCAACAGGACTTCTTTAATATTAACAGCTTCACCTTAAGGTAGACTGTGCCAGAAGCTGAAAAGGCTGAAAATGGTTTTGTAGGCTGTGCTTTCCAAACTTTTCAGACATTAAATAGGGCATAATCGAGGTATCTCTGAAAATAGTCACCTTTGTTCTGCAGTTTCCAAAAGCCCCGGTAGAAAAAAATAACTGTGGTCACAGCCATGTAAAAGTCTTATCACCTTTTTATTCACTTAATACCATTGTCTAATATTTAACTATGATGCAAGTGTAGATTTGTATTAAAGGGAAGTTGTTCTACAGAGTCTGACATGGGATTAAGCTCAGAGAAGGATGGATTCAGTTATAGTCTGAATTGTGGATCTACAAAGGTGTATGATTATAATTGCATCACAGTATTTGAAATCAAGCTATACCAGCCTATGTAAATACAGAACCTAAAATCCCCATAATCTTCCCAGTAAATCCATGCCTGGTAGATATCCAGGCCCTCAAAGGTGCAGAGATTCACTGTAGACTTTGCATAGTAAACTTGCATTTTCCACAAGCACTCAAAATGAACTAAAAATTCATTCAAAACTGTCATTTCTTAGCTAACCAAGCGTGCCTCAATGAGAAAGCAAAGTTAGTTAACCTAAGGGTGTAAATGTATGTGTATTTCAGAACTGGCACCTGCACAATCATCAGAACTGATGAGTGGTGACACATGAAGCCAACAGAATCTAATCACACTCAGTATCTGTCCTCTGCCTCCCTGTCGTTTGTCAGAACAGTTTCTCATGATGCAGGACTCTGATGTTTTAGCATAAGAACTAAACCTGGAAGGCAGGGGTGTAATTTAAGTGCCAGACAATAAAAAAAAGAGCCAGCCAGATCCCTGATGATATCATCAGTGAAGTAAATAGACCTGATTCCCAACAGCACTAAGGTTCCTTCGTGCCTCTCTGGCTACCCAAAATCATTAGCACCAGTATCAACAGGCTCATACCTCTCATGAACATGTGAGATATGGGAATGCTGACAGGAGAAGTCCTCAATATTAATGACAGTGGGTTCAGAGGGAGGACTGACAGTGAGACAGAGTTTCTATTAAAGGATCTGGGAGGCAGGTAGCTGAAGGATGAACACCACCAAAGATTTCCATCTGTGTCTAGGAGGTGTTTCTACTGAAGAGATATTGCAGCAATAATGCTCAGACCGCAGGAAGGAACACAATGTAAGGAAACCGGGTAAATTAATGTTTTAATAACACCGAAGTAACGGTGTCATCCATTTACCCAAATCAATTAAATGAAGAAGGACGTTCCAGTTTCTAGGCTGTTGCTAGGACAGATTTGCCGAGGGCTCTCGCACATTCCCAGTCCCTCCATTCCTGAAGCGCTATTGCCCTCTGGCTGCGAGCCTCAGCCCCTGCATGGAGAGCAGACACCTGCGCTCCAGCACTGTCCCCAGCTCGTTTGGGTCCTCCCCCGTGACAAAAGATGTCTTCTATCAGAAGAGTTCAGGTTCCCAAGGCTAGAGAAACTACAGTCATTTCTAATGTCACTCAGTTTTGTTGCTGTGTAAAACAATAAACAAATGTGCCCTTTTCTGTGAGAAGGAACTACCATGGGCTGCATACAGATTTGAAATGAACCTGGAGTTCTGTGATATTACAAGGAGAAAAAACGTTACAAAATCTTTATGCCTTTTATAACTGGCACTTTTTGCCTGAACTGATAAAAGAGCACTTGCAGGATTAACAGCAGTAATGCAACTCTTTTTCTCACTTTACCTGATCACAGAGATACAATTTTTTACTCCAATCTCTGACAAGCTTAGACAGTAAAATTTTCCCCATACAAATTTAGTGTTTAAACAGAAAAGACAGCACAATAACAGGCATTGTTGTCTTCTTCAACTCTATATGCGATTCTGGGTCCTGTAACCATGGACGTTAATATAAAAGGCTGCCCAGTTTATTTTAAGATTGAAAAATCAAGTGCAGGCAGCTAAGGGGCTTCTCCCTGCCTGGGGATACATGTCCCCTTCAATCTCCTTCAATTAAGAGCCCTGCCCAGCAAAAAGAAAAAAAAGAGAATTCAAAAGTACTTCTGAAATGTCAGGAGTGAGGATGATGAAAGTGCTTCCTTCTTCCACCAAAGGAAAGACCCCACAGAAGACATTCTTCCACAGCAAGAATACCTCTACTGATTTTCCTCCAAAACTCCTTCCAACTGCTGCAGGGTGGACTGGAAGTGAAGTCTAGTGCAGAGTTCAACAAGATAGGCACTGCAAGTTACAGTGGTGCAGCAGCAGCAGCTTCGCTTTTCTTAGCAGACAGCAAAATTGCTTTTTTCTTGCCATCTCTTTTCTCCTTCACAGATAAACTTCTGTCTTCTATTCCCTGTGGAGTTTAGTCTGGCAAATCTATGTAAAATTATGTTCCTGGTGAATATTGCTGGTAAACATTTCTGAACTGGATGCTTAAAGCAATATTTCAGTCTTTTTTCATCAGAGGCAGTAGGGAAGGAAGCTGAAACGGGTAAAGAAGAAATCCAGATCTGAGGACTGTAGGAATAACATGAGCTCAGGAAGAACTGGAGGGGATCACGACAGTCCAAACCAAAACTGATTCTATCAGAAGGAGGAAAGCTCTTCTAGGTCAGGAAGGTCCTAATTCTGCCTCTTCCAATAGATTTGAGGGGATTTGTTAATGTGTGTGAACTGTAAGTGGCTGTTATGCATCCTCAAGCATCCAAGCACTCTCTTGAAGATTCTCCCCCAACCCAGCAGTGGAGAAAATTTCCTTGAGGTGAACATTAAAGAAATAAAAGCATATTTCCCCTAGCAAATGTCACTGGGGTACTTTTGTTCTGTACCTAGCAACAAAGTTTTGTCATAGTAAACCACACAATCAGTTTTAATGAAATAAAAATATATATTCTAAGAAAGAAGTTCTGGAAGAAAAGCATATTTTTATCAGAAGTGTTTCAGGTATGCATGTCCCTTATGACTGCCAAAGATTTAATCACTAATGAACTGACTGTAAATCAATTCTATCAACTATTTTACGGCGGCATAAGTTTGGCTCAGCATTGTACTGCATGCTCAACAAGAGGGTCAAAATCTTCAGGGAATTTCCTTCCTGTTAATGATGGTTTGTTTTTTTTGTTTTTGTTTTGTTTGTTTGGGTTTTTTGTATTTGTTTTGGTTTGTTGCAGGTTTCTTGGGTTTTTTTTGTTGTTGTTTGGCTGTTATCTTTTTTACATCACTAGAGTAATGTTAAATGGTTGAAATCCAGGACTTTTGGACACCTAAATGATAAACTACATACAGAATTGAGGTACCTTCTCCCTAGCAAAGAACTCAGTGCAAGATGAGGAAATCACCAGGAAACCTTATTCAGAGAATCAGTGCCCAAATATGCTAATAATTGTTATTGTTTGGTGCAAAAGGATTTACTTGTTTTGCACATGGAAAAGCTTCCTGCGATTGTATGATTTTATATAGAAAAAAACCTTGTATTTTTGGAAAAGCAAGAAGGGAAATGCTTTAAATTTCCATGCTCCTGGAATAAACTCATATATCAAGAAACAAAATATTGATAGGATTAACCTCTTCAGGGTTCACGTTACGGATTCTGGGTTTAATTAGTAGCATGGTATAGATCTAGCTGGGTGAGGAACAAAGGGGGTTTATTAGTCAAAGAGCCACCATTTCTCTCATCCAAGATACTCAGGACTTTCAGACTTGGAGAAAAGAGGCAAAAAAGAGATTTCAATAATGTGGTTCCCTGCCTTTTTTGTGCAAATTGGTGTGAGTCAGCAGTAATCTTGAAATGAAACCAGCAGCTGAACATTTTATCACACCATGAAAGCAATATCTGCTGGATACTATCAAACATGATGGTTCAGATATAACAAATGACCCAGGAATTTCTGAGATATTTGATTTCTGGAAGCAGAAGGCCTACTTTGCATACGCATATATTTACTTTTACTCAGATATATGTATGTTTGGGTGTGAAGAGTTTATTTTGTTTTTTACACAAAATGTATAAAGACAATATGTCTTTATACTACTTTCACAGCCACCCCTGGTCCTTGCTGAGGTTAGATATGCTAAATTTATCTTGTTATCTCAATGGTGCACAGAGCTCAGATGTGACCTGGAGAATGGTCTGCTCTGCATCAATTCTGTGGGAGTCCTCAAGATTACAGATATCTATTCCACTTTTCCTTCCTTTGACATACCTGCACTATCAAAGAGCAACCTATTTTGACACTTACATGTTTATTAATATCTACTCTCAGCCAGCCTACAGCCTCTCAAGTGAGCTCTGCATTGCTGTGGTAGAGAGCACGCAGTCCTTGTGCCCACTGCTCACCAGTCAAAGTCAGCCTCCGTGCACACACATGGCTCCGAGGTCATACCCCCAGCATATTTTCCTTGCATGCATTTCTTCTCTGACTTGCGCTTCCTGTAGATCCTTTTGGCTCCCATGATGCAAGCTTCTCCCTAGAAACAAAACCAAAAATATTTCTTTGACGCCCACCAGGCTATTTGTGTCACCTGTTTTTTCCAAGCCTGTGCAATGGGAGGTGTTACTCAAGGGAAGAGGACGGGAAGTCAAATGCCATCTCAGTACACTGGAGCTAATTGAAGCTACTGAAGCTTTAACTGAGACTAAACCAGCTTTTCCAATACACACTAAGAAACTATCTGAGGTTACTTATGTATCTGATTCAGAGCTGAATTTATTCCAAACCCAATGAGCAATTGATCCAGGCCCATTTCACAGCAACTGAAACATCCCTCTGCAATCTGAGACACAGAGCAGGTCTATTTCTTTAGTCTGATCTCTTTGGGAATAATTTCATTCAACAGAAACCAGTAAAATGTGTTTATGTAAATACTTTCTATGGATGAGTTCGAGTTTTACTGGGTTTGACTTGTTATGTGGATGCTAAAACTCCCTGTATTCAGCACCCTGCTAAATATTTCTATCTAGGGAACAAGGCTCAGCCTTGCAATCTCAATGGAAAGGAATTCAAAAGGCAAGATTACACAGTAGTCTTCCTAAAAATAGTTCTGCAAGCTCCAAAGCCAGCATCCTCAAAGAAATACTGCAAAATTCTTGATATTTTCGCTCATGCAAGTACAAGAAAGTAAAGAACAAAATACAGAGAAGTCTCAGTTATTACCTTTTATGCTGTTAAAATCATTGCAAAAAAATTTTTTGTGGCTTTGATTTGATAATTTAATGGCATCAAACAGAAGAGCCTGAATAGCAACTGGTGTAAAATGTTGTGCTTCCTTGAAATTCAAGGAACTGTACTGATTTTCAGCATCTAAAGATCTAAGTAATAACTGGTCTCTTTAGTGTAGAGTTTTGCCTTGTGTGAGCAGCAAGTCTGAGTCAAGTTACTTTCATTTCATATTCTAAATTCTTGCCCAGCAAGACACATACAGAACGACAACCTTTGATGATATAAATGTGTGCTTTGCCTTAGACTTTAATGGAGCCTGTGGTGTTTATATAACCACAGAACTTGGGCCATATTTTATTCTAACCTGATATAAAACAGGTTGTTGTGTCAAACTTGGCAGAACTGGAAAGGTGCCCCAGGGCAGGTGCAGAGCACCTTACCTTGATAGGCATGTAATCAATGGTTCCAAGAGTGATGCAGCAGCTGCATCAGGACAAGGCAGAGGGGCCACTGAGCTGGGGAACAAAGTGTCCAACTCCCATGACAGATAGAGGCAGAACAGGGATGAAACCAAGTGGGCAATGAGGCTAAGGGGACCCAACTAGAATGGTCTTAAGACACTGGCTCTGAGGACGCAGAAGGACAGAGAAAGAGAAAGGAGGTAAGGACAGGGAAATTAGATGGGAGGAGTAAGAGTGAAGGAGTTCAGGCCTCAGTGGCAGTGCTTCTACTGTCGATGTATCCTTTAAGTCTGAGCTAATTGCCTGCATAGAGGATGATACCCAAAAGACAGGTGTTTATCCTTCAGGGCTCACAGAATCTAAATCTGAGGCCAACATTGATGTAACAAAATGGACCCATCCAGTAAGGGACAATCTCATATGCCAAACTGACAGGAAAGGATATTGGATCATGCTGACCTTTAACTGTAGAATCATTAGCTAGTTCAGGTCAGATCTCAGCCTACTTGCCTCTCACCTGGCTATGGAGTTGCCAAGGCCTGTAGTCCTCTTCTGCACATCTCCGATCAAAAATGGACTTGTAGTCTATTTTCACCAGCTGCCACTCTGAGCGGTGGCTGAAATGTCCAAACACACTACAGGATGCAGCAGAAAGAACATACAGTAAAAGGAAGCACCTGATGGAGTCTGGTAGTTACAGAGGTACAGTTACCCACAATTTCCAACAGAGATCAATTGCTTCAGGAGTGATAGTACTACTCATTTTCACTTGACTGACATAGTGAAAGTGAAACTTAGTCTACTAAATATCTATAACCATATTAAAAATTGCTTTTAGTGCTTATTCTGTTCATCAAGACCCTCCCACTTTTGAGAATACCCAAAAAGACTCTATTTGAAGCAAAGACTCAAGAGAAGACTTGATGTGGGGCTGGAGACAGTAATACCTATAGGATTTTTATCTCAATTATAAGTTTTGGGAATTCCTTCCACATAAATTAAAATCAGAACCCGAAGGAAACATTCTTTATACATCTTTATTAACTGAGTTTAGTTTCCAAGCCACAAATTCTGCCTATTACAGGTCAGTCAGAAACCGAATTTTCCTCCTGTTTTTGCAAATCTGACCTCAAGTAAAATGACATAGTTCCTGGCACGATGAGTCCAGATTTATGCATCATACAGAACTCAGCACACCACTTTGAAACTAAACATAATTTTTTATGAGTCAGCCCCCAGGTAACGTTTTGTCATTCATTTTTACAGAAGAATGTCTTCACTTTTCTGTCTCAGTTAAAAAAAAGAATGTAGCAGCAAAAACACAGTTATAAAAATACTTCACCATCTTTCTTTCAAATATTCATCTGTCAACAGTAACTCTGCTTTATATCACATCCAATTTGAGGAGTCACATTTCATGTTGATAAGCTAAGTGATAATGTGTTTGCAGTTTGCAAGGAACCATGTTGTCATTCCCTCAATCATATCAGAAATAAACTGATGATTTAGCAACAGAAGACTGCACACTTCTGGCTTCAGTTAGTACTTGGTTTGGTCCCCAATCAGAAATGCTATTGTTATGAACAACCCTTGTAAGATATTTATGGTGCAGGTCTCATGAACAACAGCATCATGGCATGCTCACTTACGTCATGATGAGAGTTTCCTCTCCAGGTTCCCCTAAAACTCCATCTACAAATAGTGGGAGGGATGTGAAACTGTACTTGCTCCAAGATCTCCCTTCATCAAAACTTAACCTGGAAGAGAAAGCAGAATAAGTGTCTTCTTTCCTTACTCTCCTACTTTACTTGAGGAGACTCTCTAGTCCACTACAGCTGCTATGGAGAAGTTTCTCTTTTTGGATAATGACTTTTCAGTCCTTTAAATAACTATTTTTTGGGGGAAGCATCATAAGCCAGAGCACTGATCAGACTTGTTTGGCATCATACCACTAACCCATGACCAATATTTCAGTCGTAAAAACTAATAGCTATGTGAGAGATTGATGCTTTAAGGGCAAAATGTAGCCTAGGGATAAGATTTTTTAAAAAATAGACCAGTGATTTTGAGCATCCCATTTCTGGGTCCCCAACATTAAACATTTTAAGGAGGTTAGTTTTCTGGAGCATGAGAGCTTTGACTCTTCAGACCAGCAGTCCTCCCAGCATGAGCGTAAGTGAAAGCTTAGAACTGCTCATCATTTGTTAAGACTTGGGTCTGTGTGTTTCAGATTTTGATAAGACACTGACTGTAGTGGAAGTAAATAAGGTAAACCAGCAAAAAACTGTATTCTACCTTCTAAGCTCAAGAGTGCTAACTAATGAGGACACTTTAGACTTATTGGCTATGTAACCCTGAATCTATTCAAGAAAATTCTGGTTCACAAGTGCTGCCTGCCACACAGAAGACAAGTTAATCAATAATTTTGAAACTAAAGAATACTTTATCAATTTAATAAGAGACAAAGGCATAAACCATGTATATATTTTATAAACAACCAAACTCAAGAAACCAAGTTGTGGTAAACCAGGAGTGTTGTGGAATTATATTGACAGTATCTTAGATCTGGTTGAGCTAAAATTATGTAAACTGGACCTGCCAGGACTTCTTAGCTTTATCTGAGTTAATGTTTGCCAGTAGCTGAACTAATATTGCCTAGGTTATAGCTACAGAAAACTGGATGCATATTAACTGCCCATTTCCTGCATCTGAAAAGAGGGAGAGCAGACATTTAGCACAGAAGGAGTCATTACCAGAGGTGTCTGATAGGTAGAGATGTGTGTTTCATGGCAACAAGTACTCCACCTTGATCCAAGTAGAGAACACTGTGCTCTTCCTCAAAGATCTGGAAAAAAAAGTATCTATTTAAATCTATTCTTCTTAGTATCAAGAAAATTGCATAGTTTTTAAAGTACGATCATGATAGAGGACAGGTATGTGCTAATGAAGTTACAGATTAGAGGAAATTATAGAGATGGTTTCTGTATTCTGTATTTTATTGTTTGGGGTTTTTTCCCCCCCAGTTTTCCCAGTTTTTTGGAAAATGCATTCTGCCTCTCACAGAAAGTTAGAAGCATGTTTTTTTTGCAAGGATCAACAATTTCCTTTCTTTCAATGACAAATTTCTGTTTAAAGAAGAATTTCATGTGCTTGCACATATCTGGCCCTATCTCACATAATTGATGTAGACAGAAAAATGAGGGCTAGTCAAACATTGCAAAATAATTAGATTCTTGGAATATCAAATATTTGAAAAGATTTTCTTTTTCTTTCCCTTTTTTGTATTAACTCTCTGCAAACATTTGCCCTCTAGTCTATATAGCAGCATTTGTCTGTCTGAGAAAGTTATTCTTTTTCTGCATGACTTGATATCCCATTCAAAAAATAGGAGTAATGGAATTTCCTGATCTGAAGATAAACACATTATAGTGTATTTCTTAACACTAAATATTAGGATCTTAATTTAACTTCAACATTCAGTCTCTTTCCACAAGTAAAGAAGAGGTAGCTTTATGAAGGTAGCTTTAACAAAGTGAACTTAATTCTGTCATGTTCTCCATTAGTTTAACAGCAAGGCAAAATAATTTGTTTATATGGACATTGAACTTTGGACAACTCAATGCAGGTGAAATGAGTCCCATACGGAGAGAGGAAAAGTAGACCAGTGCAACTACTGATTTTCAGGAAAGTATAATCATGGATAATGAGCAAAATAGTTTGACTGGTATAAGGGTTGTACAACAGTAAAAGGTAACACATTCTTTCCCCTTAATATCTATAATTTATGCTGTTCTCTTTGCCACAGGGTTAAACTGAAGTCAAACTCTGAGTAGAATTACTAAAACAATTTTCTTTAATACAAAGTCTAACAACATAGTCTTTTTCTTTGAGCATTTCTGTACCTTTCAGAAGGGAAGTTTACTCTTTTTTAAAGGTTTGCAAAAAACTACTCTGAACCAAATGAAACAAAAATTAAGTGACAGATTGAATCTACTTTTATAACAATTTCCTGTGATTAGTATTTAGACCTGTGATTCTGTGTCACTTACCTGCCTCCAAGTGTTCCCAGCATCAGAAGTAACAAACATGCTGATGTCATTGTCTGATAGCTCAGTGCCTATATTACCTGTAAGATAAGCATTAGTTAGCACTGGAATACTCTCAGAAACACTAGAACTAAAAAATCAGAGGAGTAAATGTGTATATTTACCTTTTGTAATTATAGAACCTCTAGTTTGGGGAGGATAATGAGGGAAAAGGAAAAGGAGAAGTGAATGGAGAAGGGGAGGGGGGAAAGGAAAGGGGGAAAGGGAAGGGAAAGGGATTTCAGTTTGAAGAAAATATATATATAAAAGACCAAACACATACAACTCTATACACCTCTAATGCAAAGAAAATGCCCTAATTTGAGTCTTATGTTCACAGGAGTAGAGGATTAGGCGTGATCTCCTTGGTCTTGAAGGTCAGTTTCCATAAAAAGCCATATGACAAGTTGAAGGTCCATAAGGACTTTCATTTGAAAGCCAACCTTCTTTCCCAATACTAGTGGTGTGACACCTCACAATCACTCAACACGCACCACAAAATCCAGATTTTGTCAGTGTTTGCACATCACACACAGGTGATCTTTAAACATTTCATACCTGAAGCTACAATAATACTGGGGGCAGTGTCTCGGCTGGCGATGTTTCCTGAGGTATAGGGGTTGTCTGAGACCTTCAAGTGAAGATGAAGGGAGCAATAGGGCTATGGAGAAAGGGGAAGTAAAAGTAAAAAGCAGATACAACAATGCACGAACTTATTTCTACAGGCTTAGAAACATAGAGTGTCCTCCTATATTTCTTCCTCATCATTGCATTCAATCACCCTTAGAAAGACACCGTCACTTTGCTATCATTTTCTGACACAACCTGTTCCCACTGGGAAACGGATTCACCAGGTTGAAACTGTCTCCCAAGGACAAGATTTTGAGCCTGTTCCCTCAAAGGAGGGAACCAGGCTTGCAAGGGCAGGTGATGATAGGGACTACCCAGCTCTTCTGACTCCTACCTCTGTGAGAAGCAAACAAGGATGCAGGTACAAAATGACTCTCCGAGCAGCAGTGCCCAAGCTATCTCTGCAACAAGAAGCAACATAACCCTACTTGTGTGGTGCTGAATCACCACTAATTAGTCAGGAAAAACAACTTAATTCAGACAGTGTCATACCATTTCTTGACTCTTTTTGGCATATGGCTCTGTTTTGCACTGCACTGCAATAAATACAAAGAAATACCACGACTGGAAAGTGTTAGTTTCAAAGTTATTTAAAACAGTGCTTCATCGCCCATTTGGATTTGACCTTTAAGATTTCAATACAAATACACCCATGGAAACCTCACCTATTTGCTATTGATTTTGTATGCTGGGTACTCAGCAAAGACAGGAATGGTACAGAATAAATCAGGTGAGCAAGAGGGTAAGTCAGAAAGGTAGATTTCCAAAATTGTCATTACAATTCCCTCCTAAACTGTATTGTCATAATTTCTGAAAATTCCTAATAATTATTTCCTTTGCCTGGGTTTTATTTTCAGTACTTTTTCTTCCAAATCTCATGAAGACCCCTTCATGGAACATGCTAAGGGAAGAGAGGGGGAAAAATACTGGCAAGAAAACCTAAAGCAAACTGACCTAGCCAAGGTGGACATCACACAGGAACATAACTAGAACAAAGCCCATGGTACAGCTTACCCAGCTCTATAAGATGAGAAGGAGAGGCTATGTGGAAGGGCGTTCAGACTCTAAGGAGGCAGGTTTTTCTGTCTAATACCAGCTGTTAAAAGACTAGACCTGCAGCCCCAAGAGTCTGGGGGGGGTCTGCAGACGTACCCTGCAGGAGACCTCGTCCCATAGGTCACTGGAGGAAGACCACTTATCCATCCCATCTCAAAGCAGGTGACTATGATTCTGACATGTAAATTCCCCTGTGCAGAATGGCAGGGTTCTTTTGGCAACGGCAAATGAGAGTGGTAAGGAGGGATGGAAGCTCTCACTTATGTGAGATGGGAAAAGGGGACATGGTCTGTGCAGAAGGGAACACAATCTGCCAAGCGGAATGTACTGAGCAGCCTAACTCTATCTGACAGCCTTGCGAGGGCAGCCGCTGGAGCAGCCTGGGGGCGCCGGGAGGGAGTGGAAAACAAATTGAGCTGACATGAATGCAGGAAGTGGAAAAGCATTGCAAGAGCATGAGTTCTTTCCTTTTACATTTTTATCGGTTGTGAGAAGACTAAATAGAGAACATATTTTTAATATTCACATGTTCCAAGCCCACTTCAGCATTCTGAAGACAGAAGCAAATGGCAACTCAGTCAGTTCCCAACTCAAATGAGACCTTGTTAGACTAAAATCTTTGTGCTACCAGAGGTTTTCTTTCAAATTAGTCTCATTTAACAGATATAGTACATAAAAATGGAATATATATCTCAAATATTAAAATCCAGGCCATCTGTCTAAGCAGACAGATGATCTTTTCAGTGGTATGACTTCTTATTGGTTGGAGTGCAGTAATGCTTAGAGTCTCTAGTGACAACTGGGTATGGTGTAAAGCCAGCCTTTCTGCTCCTAGCCAAACACCTAAAATTACTGTCCATGGCCATCCCAATTCCTCACTGTGTTAGCATTCTCTTCCTCATCTCTGATGTATACCTTCTCCATCTCTGTCCTTATAGAGTTCATTAACAGGTATTTTTCCAGCTGGTTTGTGTTCTATCATACTTAATTCACATACAGACATCTCACCCTGATTTTCAGAATTTTCATCAATTGTCTCTATCCCTTTTGTTGTTACCAACAAGCTACTGAAATCATTATTATCATCAGAATCACCAGCTTTGGGTTTCCCTGTCATTGCCCAGTACCCAGCTGTGCTACCTGCTGCACCACCACTAAGGGAAAGACGACCACAGCTTGGAGCATTTAAAACCTAGGTAGAAGACAAAGCATAGGTGACATATCCCACTGCTCTGCTCACTGCCATAGTTTTTACAGTTCTGCTAGAGTCCATTACTTCCTTCCTAATATTTTCAAGCCAGAACTTTTATGTTCCCCTCATTCCTTAGCAGTTTTCTCATAAATGTCCAGAACCCCACTTCTTGGCTGTTCTGCAAAGCCCACCTGAACTGTCTCCAATGGCATGAAACACACAAACCAGCTATTAGTGGCTGTACCTGATCAGAAGTGGGACAGAGTATTATAACATAAGGATGATACTAGACACCATTCCCAAACCTAGGGGGAGTCAAAGTATTTTCTCACCTGCAACAGCGAGGAGTAACGGAGAGAGATAAACACTTCAAGAGAGCTATTCCAAACACCTCCCTTAAATGCTTAAACTACTCCGTAGCAGATGGTATGAATGTCTCCCCCTTACAAGAAGAGGGTCTTTGTCTTGAAATCCATATAATACATATGGACAAGACAAAATGCGGGAGGGAATAAACAGATGTCTGGGGAAGTGAGACAGAGAGAAAATAAATGACTGGCCCAAGGTCATGCAGGAAATTGGAGATAGGCCTGCCTAAACACTGAATCAAGATTCTCCTGAGATTCATCCCAGTGTTTGAACAACTAGTCCATCCTTGAAAGTTAATTGATTAACTCTCCTGGGCAGATGCCCATTTCTTACCAGACAGAATTACTTCTCAGCTAACTACTTCACAACACATGATAAGTATCAAACTAAACCAGCATCTTTGAGATAAAATACCTTGGCAGTTTTTTTATGAAGATTAAGTGTATTCATCTTAGAAAACAAGTGGTATAAACAAGAAAAACAAAACCCTGGGATTAGATGAAATTTCATTGCTTTCCTCCATCCTCATTATTCAGAGCTGTCTCAAAAAAAAAATGCAAAGAATTCTGAGTTGCTTTGAAAAAACTACCTTAAGCAAAGTGTCAGTAGAGGGAGGGTTCCGTCTGGCTCGCCTTGTGCTTCAACCAGATTCCCTCTTAACCCCCTTAGCTGCCAATTTAGCTGCTATGTACTTATTTCTGTTTTAACTCTCACTGAGTTTAAGTTTAAAGACCAGATGCACAGAGGACACAGCATTGCACCCGCAAGCTGGGGACCAACCTGTCACTCTGGGAAATGGTAGATCCCATTCTAACAACTCTCTGGAACATACGTCATTGCTGTGTCCTGAGCTAGGGTTAGAGACATTTATCTGAAAACCAGCAGTGGGAAAGCATGAAATAATCGGATTTACAATCTATTTGAAACACAAAGGCTTCTTTAGATAGTCCCTTCCAAAAATTAAGTTGTTTTACATCTGCAAAGTTTTCTAAATATCATCTTTTTTTGGTTTTACCTCATAAAATGCACTTAGTTACAATTTTTAAAATCTTGAAAGAAGAACACGAACTCAAACAAATTTAGTCATGCTCTCAAATAACTCATCTCTCTGAACCCCAGTCCTCCCTATTTATTTTTTCCAAACTCGGTAGAAAATATAAGGCTTGTATTTTGGCTTAATCAAAAAATCAATTATTTGAACAGCTTCAAATATTTATTCTTTGCTCTTGCAATAGTGCATGACATTCAGTTAAGAGATTAGTGCAGCATTCAGCTACAAAATGTAATTCCGATGCAGATTTTAACAAACAGTCTCAAAATGAGAAACTTTTTTTTTTTAATGGAAAGCAACATATAGGTACAGGCCAGCAGGAGGAAGAGCTGTCTAAATAGTGTCCCTGATTCTGCCCGGAACAATGTTAGAATTTGTGTAATATGAAAGCTATTGAGAATCCCAAATACAGGGGCTCTGAGTATTAGTCCACTCCTGAGTATAGATTGCATTGGCTGAAAAATATGTCAATATAAGTCTAAGTTTTCTAATTTGATACAGATCTCCAATTATATTCACATTGCTTATATTTCACTTTCCCTCTTGAAAACTGTTTGCATATAATGATGATTAAAGACTTAACTACATGCGTATCTATATCAATAAGTACAGAGACAGATACAATTTACATCAACATAAAGCTATACATATATTTGAATGAATGTGTCAATTCTCACTTCTGAGCTCAAAGAGAAAATGATAAATGTTAATAAATATTAATGTCAACAGAGAGGCCTGAAAGAAATCAGAGCTCTATTTTCCTTTGAGCCTGTCTCCAGTTATTAGAGCCCTTAAAGTTTCTGAGCTACAATAGCTCACGCCTCCCATCTAGTGTCCAGAGAATCAACTGCGCAGACACAGCATCCAGTTCACCTGCTATTTAAGGGGACACCATCAGTTGTGCAGAAGGAAGCTGATCCACGATGCTTACTTCTACTCCAGAAATTAAATTAAGCTAAATTACAATGCCATGTCTTGCAATACCTACCCCCTGGCACCCCCAGCCTGGTGTGCTGCACTCCATGAGACACATTGCATGGAAAGGGGAGCTGCCCCCTCTTTCTTGTGTTACCTGGTAGAAAAAGATTGTTCTGGATATTACCACCCCCCCAAGTTTCCCCCTCAGGTACTTACTAGGAGACAGTGAATGGGATTTCCTCTCAGATCCGTGTGTGGAGCCTGCAACAAACTCCAGTCTCTCCCTTTATTGTAGGTGATGAAAGTTTTCACTTGGTTGTCAATCTTCTTGTTAGCCAAGAACATTCCCTTTATCCCTGCTACCTAGGAAAAATTGACATGGCTGAAAAATAGATCAAGTCCATGCAGGTTCTGTGCATGTGTCCCTCTTTCCCTGTCAAACCCAACAGGGCTCTGGTCGGTGTGTGAGTGTTGTCGATGCTAGAGCAAGAAGTCTCAAGGTACATCAAAGGAAGACAAGTTGAAGTGCTGGGGAAAAGCTAAAACCATCACAGGTGCAAAGGTGACAAATGGGAAAGCAAGCTTGTATTTCAAAGTCATCATGAGAACATGGTAAGAATGAGATAGCATTATCTGTAAAGTGACAATCTCTCAACTGTGTAGGTATCCTTCCCCTGAAAGATGAAATATGTACAGGGCAATTATTTGTCTCTTGCACAACAGTAGCTGGACACAGTGGCAATTTTGACCTTGCAAAGAAAACAGCAACACACACACATGAACTTGCAGTTCAGTGCTTCTATTCTTACTCAGCCTTCTTCAGACATTTCATCTAAGGATCTCAATGTGCTTCACAATTATCAGTGTTTCAACAGGATAACTTGGGGCACAGAGGTATTTTTATTGTGGTTTTGTATTTTGAGGAAACCAAAACACTAGTGACTAAAGCAAGGCCACCCAGAATGCTAGTTGTAGAGCTAGCAATGAGATCCTCATCTTTTTATTTTTCCCAGTGTTTTACCCAAGAGTTTCAATCCATAGACCTGCAGGAGGATTTTGTAAAGACAAGATGCTAACAGATTCACATTGGAAACAAGCCTAAAAGTATCTTAGTGGGGAGAAAAAAAATCAGCCTCAAACCACAACTCACACTGCAGAATGTTCCCATCTTCTCAGCACACTGAAAATCAATAGCCCAATAGCTGCTGCAGCTTGCGAATGAATTTGTTAGGCTGTCATTCTGCAATCTGAGTGCAGCAATAAAAAGGGAAGTGAAATCAGGAGAAGGAGGGGGAAAGTGAGAAACTTTTTGGTTTCCAGCAAGTCTGTTCAGTCATCCACCTCATCTCTTCTTATGATGTAGAACTAGCAGACAGAATCATTCATCAAGACTTTTTATTCATAGAGATTATTACTTAAATGGCATCGCAGGGCAAATGGTTACATAGCAGATTCAGAGCTTTTTCCAGCTCAACTGATTTAATTATGTGGCTGGATTTGGATGCTACAGTGAACAGGACCTTATTGCACTTTTAGTCACATGCTGTGAGACTACTAGTGTACAGTGCTTTGGTACAGAATATTGGTGTACTTAGTCATTTGCAATAGTACCCTCCTGCTTGAGCTATGGCACAGGATTTCATTTGAAGTTGCACAAAGACTTTGACATGACTTGCTATAATGGGCGATAGTTAAATTAAGTAGTTAACTAATTTATTGTTGATATAAACAAAAAAAAGATAACCTTTTCAATTTCTTTGCAGGATTGTTTTTTTCCTACCCAATTAAGTATTCTGGATTTTTTTGCCATAGTACAAAGGCACCCTGAAAAGACAAGGGTACACTGTGACCTAGTGATATTGCATTAATAGACAGGGCTGGAAAAATAACATAGTTCCATCTTTACTACCAGAGGGTTAGAGCCTATATTCCATTTGTACTTTGCTTTGTTGTTGTCCTGAAACAGTTCTATTATATAGTCCCTGTGAAATGTTGGCTATAAATGATTATTGAGCATTTTATATATCAGCTGATAAATGTGTTCTGAAATGGTGTGAATTTTTCTTTTTATGATTCTAGTCATGGGCTAGAACTCAGAATCCTTTCCCAAGAAAGCAAAGTTATGTTATACTGTCAGTCTTGGACAGCTTTATCTTGAAAAAAGACTGCACACCCTGTACACGGTTGTGTACTCTCAGTAGGAAGGGATACACCTACTGCATATACACAACCATGACACACACAGTGATCTGTTCATCCCTGCTGTTCATAACAGAGAAAGACCCATGTAAGGAGTGCATGACCACCAGCGGTCAGAGAGAAAAGCACTCCATCAGCTCCCACACAGGAATTGTAGACAACCCTCACCACCCTGAACGCATTGTGTGCAGACACAAATGCTGGTCTACACTTTCAGAAGGATTCATACAAGACACTTGAACACACAATCGAAAAGACATTCTTGACTCTCCATCACCACCTTCATACATCAAACATATACTTCTCAGCCAAGATACATACTGCTATAAAAAATAAGTCCCAGAGTGACAGTCATATACACCATAGCTATAGACGCAACTCCTCGCGGTCTGTTACCACTTCAGCCCTGGATTCCCACAGGCAGAAGTGTCTTGCTGTGGACCAGTCCAACAGAGCCACACCACATCACCAGAGAGACACAGGAACTAGAAAGGGAACTCAGACCCAGTGGTCAGTGATTTTATCTCTTCCCTTACTCTAGGAGATGGTCTCTAGGACAGCGTTTTTCTGAAGAGAACTCAGTGAGACAACATGAAACAATTTTTATTTTCTCTTTGTACCCAGTGCAACTCCCTGTTGAGCAGTATTGAGCAGATTAATGCTTAACCTAGAATAGGTTTAGGAATTACACACACAAACATGTTCACTACAATGCAACCAGAAGAACTTACTGCTTCTAACACCTGACAAACATGCATACAGACACACGCACACTAAACAGGCCTTTCTCTGGCATTTTCTCAAATAACAGTGTTTTTTTAAATATAGTGCTGCCACCACATAAGGACTCATTTTGAAAACTCCCTACTTCCTTTTAATTTATCTATGGATTTTTTCTTCTCTTGTCTTCATCTCCTTTTACCCCTAGAGCACTCATCTTTTGCAATAATCTGACTTGGAGAACCACATTGGTTGGCTTTGTGTTCCCTTCCAGCTAGAACATCAAATTGAAAGGAAGGTTTGTGCCAGGTTCCATGTCAGTCAATATTCTTTCTATCTAGATAATCAGCAGATATGACACTGTAAGTCTGATTCCATCAATTTCAATCCAGGTTACTGTGTGGTGTCAGCTGAATAAAACAAAGCAAAAGCTTTTCTTCCCCCCTCGGGATGTAGGACACCTTTACATAATGCAGTAAAACCGCTTCCTGAGCTGACAGTAATAAGAGGCAACAGTTTTTCCATGGGCTGCCAGTGTTGCAGAGAGATTAATAGTAAAAAATGTCCAAATGACTGAAATGGCAGTGCTCATCCTCCTACAGTTCATCTGCATTGATGTACAACACTTGGGATCTCTGGACAATTCAAGGTGGTTTCCAAGTAAAGGACAGCTGAAGGAAAACTATATAGCAGAGCCAATATTCAGGCAGTGATGGGGAAATATGGGAAGCATCTTCCTTTTCGAAGGTACTCGTATCTAGTTAATGACTTTTATTCTAAATGGTCAGAAAATACCCCAGAAGAGACCTGAAAAGAGAAACTGACCCTCAAAACAGCAGATGAGGACTGAATTTCTCATTAGCTGAGTGCTGTCTCCAGAGGCAAAAGAGGTAGCAGGGCAAGAGATGTACACATTAAGGGTACATTAAAAGTCCTATTCTTAGGATCAGTTGTCACAGAAGACAACATAAGTTGGTCTTTTTACAGGTGAGCTTAAGCAGAACACATTTGTTCAGAAAATGTCTCAGGGATAAAGAGGGCACTAAAAAGAGGGAGGAGAGCTTTCATGCCCCCCCCCAAGGGGGCATATCTATAATCACTTAAGTTCCCAGAATAGTCCAAGCTGAGAAAGGTGACAAAGAGAGCTGAAAACTGCTGTCTCTGCTTAACTTCTAAAACAAGCGGTTGGACTGCTAGAAATGCAAAAAAAAATTTAGAGAATGATACTATTCAGACTGTTGGGAGCTTTCAGAGTCAGAGAGCCAATGTGAGTCCAAGTCGATACTGTGGGGACATGGGTTTTGGCTGAGAAACAGAGTTCCTCTTAGCAACTGAATGAACTATTCCAATACATTTTGCTGTGCATGAAAGAGCCATGAGCTCTTCCTCACCTGAGAACCCTCTGGTGAACACAGCACTGAATCCCTTCATAATATTAGGCTGGGCCAAAATTCAACTCGTGTGTAAAACCTGGACTTAAAACTCAGCTGATTGCACAGAGGCCCTTAAGTAAAAGGAGGGTAAAACTAAGTGTTTAGTCACTTACTGGTTTTGCTGTTCACATGCATATTACAAGACTGATGTGCAAAGAGGAAATGGTACTGGCATCATATGAGCTTCTGAGATAGAAATGAGATGTTTGGAGTTATGACATACCTCATAGAGGTCAATCATCACATTCCCCTCCAGCCCTTGACTACTCTTGACATTTTCCAAGGCCAGGGTGAAGTAGATCCCTCGGGTGTCGGAGATGTACAGATTGTACGTGTCGTTCTGGTTCCACTCTTGTACAGCTGCAAACACCTGATTCTCATCTGTGCTGATAACATGCATGTCCTGGGGAAAGAAAAGAGAGGGATGTTACTAGAGGGAGCTCTGCACTGTCATTTCAAAGGGCATCAAAGTAATTGTGGAGGAGCAAGGGATAAATTTAGGCTGGAGTTTAATTAGTAGAAAATACTGCTGTAAACTGGACAGTCCATCTAGGAATATTTTACACCAGCTCTCTTCTGCCAATTTTCAAAGCAGTAATTAAGTGATGAGGTGTTAATTGAACATTGGTAGCAGCACTTTCGCCCACCTTATCAACACCTTCATTTTAATGAAAATACTTTGTCTGAGGGGTAGGAAGGGTTGTTAATTAGTTGTGTGTTTTTTTTTTCTTTTGACACCTGAGTGATTCCACTTGTGATTGCAGAATCAGAGATATTAAAAATGTTTAAAGAAAAAAAAAAAAGAAGCAGCATCTGAAACATCTGCTTGTCCCCCAGCATTCAGAAGCCAAGTATGCTTGGGACCTGATATAAGGAGGTTCTAATGGGTTCTAACTGCAGCCAGTGTTGCTGTTATCTACTGTTTCTAATGACAGTGTGGACTTAAGCCAAGGTCCTGGACCACAGTACTAAACACCACACCCCAAGAAATTTAACAGAAAAACAACCTTAATCCTCACTAGATGTAAAGAAGAGAACTGTAGTTCGATCATTAGTGTTATAAGTGAGGTTTTGTTTTACTCTGTTTGTTTGGTGTGTTACAGCAGGCAGGAAACAATGAAAAGATTGCGTAATTAAAGAAAAAAATTAAAAACTATTAAACCTGATTATATCTTTCAATGCCTAGAGAAATTATTACCCAATGGAAAAAGCCACCAAAGAGAGAGATTGTTATAATGAAATTCCCAGGCTCTATCTGCCCAGCACAGGCACCCTGAGTTCTTTGGTGCCATAAAAATCTATTGAGGTAGGAAAAGAAATGAAGATTTCTTAGTACCAGGTGATTCCCAGAAGACTCAGCTGTTCTGTCTGTTTTGGGCAGATACCCCAAAGTTATTCTGCTTCCATGAATCTCAGCCAGGACTTTCTATATGCAAAACTGGGAACCTTATCAGAAAATATACTCTTTGGAAGCTGATGCTACTTCTTCCATCTGTTAATAATATTCTTTGATAATTCACTGTCTTGTTGATTTCTAGGGAAAATAAATACTTCCAGATGAAGCCTTGTAATGTAAAGATAAAAAAATAACACAATGAAGAAATTTGATCTATGTATTTGAAAGCAGATTCACCATAGAGTTAATATTCATAACAGTTGTTTGTTCATCCAGATCCAGGTCTGAATACAGAGTGGATGAATATGCACTTGATTTACTTGCTTCTTTGCACTGGGGAAAATTGTATCCCAGAAGATGGGCTCGTTTTGTGGAGGAACAGATTGGCTTGAGTCTTGAGGCAATAGTAAAGGTAATATAAGTCCCACTGCCTTCTACTAATTTTGGCTGTGAATAGACATCCTCTTGTAGCTCCAGCTGTGCTGGTAGAAGTTACAGCCACAGCTGTTTGTTTGAGGCTCCTTATTTCAGACTGTCACCTTGGTGAATCTGCTGGGAGATCTACATCAGTAGGTATTCCCAACGTGCTTCAGGCAATATTGCCTAGCACAGCTCTAATCTCAAGTTTTAACTTCTGCATATGTGCACACATGGGCAGGCCCCTCTATTTAAACACAGACATATTGTAAGTAAAATTTGTTTTGTCTGGTGAATGTACTGTGTCATTAACTTACCATTTCAATTAATAGTTTTGTAATAACTAGCGGAAAGGGGTAGAAAGATACTTTGATCAACACCAGAGAAAATTAAAGGCAATTTCATGAATGTTTAAGAAGCAAACAAGTTAATTTATTCACTAGATGCTTCTTGAATTTGATCAGATCATGCTGTAAGATGGATGTGTAAGGAAGATTCCACTAAGGCTGAAGGAATTTAAGTCTGGGGAAGCAGAGACTGAGACTGAATTGGTATTATATACATAGTGTAGAAAGTCAAAAAAGATAGTGTTCCAACTCTGTGCCTTTGGGTATAAATTTTCCTCTTAATTTTTCCTCTTAATAAGTCCTTGTCCAACAGGTGTGGCAATGATGCAAAGTTTTGATAGAAAAGAATCAGTATATGGGCATCAAACAGGTCTTTGACCAACATCAGGAATTTTTCATTTCCACACTGGTAAAATTAAAATCAATCAGCATATAATTTCTTTTTTTCCAGGATGGGGGTTAATTTTTTGAGGCCAAAATAATACAAAACAACAGCCTTCACCTTGATATGGAACAAGCTCCCTACAGAGGCAGAAGAGGACAGGAATGTGAAGCAAGGCACCTTTGTCAAACAGTTGTCGTCATCTTCAGGGGCTCTCCAGGCTTCTGTCTACTAAAGACCTGAGCTTGTTTCTCTCTGTTGCAGCATATACTAGAAGTAAATTAATATACACTTCTACTATCTGTCTTTTTTGCCTTTCCAAAGACAAAAGTAACAGAATGATGCTGTACATTGGCTTGATCAGGTGTCTACTCTAATGACTAAAGGCCAAGGTTTTCTGAATTATGGAACATGCTTCAATTGCCCTTTTTGTGCTTGGTCAGGGAACTTTTCTTCCTGGCAAGTTAAACAGTAGGGATGTGTAATGCCAGTTTTATTCTGTCAATTACTGGGATTGTCAGCTCTTTTAAGGTTTGTATTTAAGGTTTTGGGTTGGGGTTCTTTTGTGGTTATTGCTTCTTCTGTCAGGATGTGCATCCTGAGGTTGAAAGAAGGTGATGAATTTAAAACAGAGGTACCACATGCACCCATCCCATCACTATTCAACCCAATACCAGTTAAGACAGGTCTTTTTAAAAGAGAAATTGCTTGGCTTGCTTCACTATTCTCAGATGTCTGCCCAGTGCATTGGTCTAAACTGGAGTAAATGTAACCTGCACGTACACTTAAGGTGATTATCATAAGTGACATGACAGTCTGTGACAGAACCCATATTCTGGCACTGTGGTGCAGAACAGGCAGTAATAATCCACATATCAATGTCACTGCAACAATTAACAGGTCTCAATAAAGACTATTTAGAGGATTAACAAAACCTGTAGCCACATATTCAGGCATCTTCTTGTAAGGAACAGTGTTTCAAGTTCATTTAGGTTTTTAATTAAACTAGCTACCAGGTGGTTAATGTCAACAAGATTAATATTTTAGTTTTGATTTGCTGTAGGCCATCCTGCCTGAGAAGCAGCATCACCTGCCAAAGCTGCCTGCCGTCACACGCCTCCAGTTTGGGAAGAGTGACACGATGAGACAAAAAGCTTGATATTTCCATCTTCAATTCCAGAACTCACTTAGTGCTCTTTACCATATTTGGCCCCTCCTTCTTAGCTGAAGGAGATGAAAGAGAATTTGGACATAAAAGAAGCTATTTGTTTAAATTCCTTGAATAATATAACTGTGCACATTCTTCATAGAAGTGACTATCTTGCTTTGACAGTAGCCTCCTAGACAGCTCTACTGTAGCTCTTTCCAAGTCAAATGTAGCACTTCAGTCTCTGAAGATATTGCAAGACTGTGATAAAGCATCTTTCTTTAGGTCAAATAACATGAATATATTGCTCCAATTCCTTTTATCTGAGAACATATTGTAATTTAATTGTAGTACATTTTCCCCAGCTCTCCAGAGGTCTCTCTAAGAAGGTGGACAGAAAAGTAAGTGTGGGCTAAACGAAACAACAATTTTAAAGCAAACAGTCTCTCTACAGATGATTTGAATCATTGTAAATGACAATTTTTATTTGGATTTTACAATAACCATTCTAAAATGCAACTCCCTTGCTAAAGATTCCTTCGAATAACACCTGTTTAAATTCGATCTGAATTCACAAGAGTAATTTACTCCTGCTTGGACAGGAAGTTTCAAACCAACCAATCTTTAAATGTGACTGAAAATTTTGAGGCAGACCACAGGTCTCCTGTGTCAGAGCTAAGAAAATCTCATGGCTTCTGGTATGATCCTCAATGTCCTGTAAGCTGGTTTTTCAGGTGATGTAAACAGAAGCAAAGGCTACAACAGCAGAGTAGGTAAGTTATGGCATTGGTAAGGTCAGTAAGGTATTGGTAAGTAGGCAAGGTATGGTACTGAAGGCCTGGGTTTGAGCTGCAGTCTGTTTATACAAAGGTCACCCAGTCAATCTACTATAAACAGGTCGTTTGGGTTGAGGAATCAAAGACAGTCAGTTGTGATATTAGCCAAGTTATCCCTTTGAATATTTCCACCTACAAAATCTGGTGCAACTTCAACTCCTAGGAATAGATTGATCTTGCACTTTCTTTTTTTTCTTTTGACAATCCTCACTTAATTTCTTGGAGCACATTTGTCTTCAGATGTTAGACCTCACATAGAACCCACAAGATCATTTGCTACCTTTGAGCTTAAATGAAATTTAAGACAGACTATAATAAGAACGAGAAGGAAAAAAAAATCCTGTTCTTGTTAAGAAACCATTAGGACCTTAGTTGCAAAATGGTGGTTTCTAGAAAACAGAGCTAACATTTTTTATAGCTGTTTTAAAAAACTCAGCTCCAGAAGGCAGAAATACCCTTTCAAGCTCCAATGCTAATTCACCATTGTTCTTAATTAGGGAAGATACAGAGCAGACACACAGAGACATCTCTTTGCTTGGTTCCCATTAAAATCTGCTAATGAGGCAAGCACAAAAAGAAACCCACACAAAACAGGGACAGGAAAGGGGAATTTTAAGACCAGAAAAAAAAAAAAAAAAAGAAAAAGAGAGAATCTCCTCCAAAACTTAATTAACTATAAAGAAATGGTAATTGACATAGGCTGTGATATCTGTCTACATTCATGCCTATGTCCCTGACTAGCCAAAGTGCTGACTTTTGGTTTTAGTCCTTTCTTGTTTGCAAATGTTCTGTGAAAGAAGAATGGTGTTTGCACTCATTGCATGCCATCTTGCAGTTACTTGTGCTGGATTCAAGATTTTCTGTGCAATCAAAGTATCTGTAGACTCATATGGGCATTCCAGCAACAGTAACCTACCTTGGGCAAGGAGTACTTTGGCAGCTTCATCTGTGCAAATGTGTTCCTCCTGTAAGAAACGTAATAATGTGGTCTTCCTCCTGATGTCAACTATGAGAGAAGCAGGAAAGATATAATCAGGTTTTTCTTATTATTTTTTTATTATCATGGAGAATATCAAACAAAAGCTGTTAAGAGAAATACCACAGTGTGGTAGCAATGGCTTAAAACTGTAGTGCTGTTACAGGTGATGGATAAACATTGATCCAGTTGATAGCAGCTGAAAAATAAAACAAGAGGAATCCCACTTTCAGCAAGGAGAAATAAAGGTCAGCATTTCATGTGAAAACCTGGGGAAACTGAAGTCCTAACTTCACTTGGACCATGAAGTCACATGCTGATACCAGAGCTCTCCTCTGCCTTACCACAAAACTGTTCTTTGCTATCTGCAGAGCTGCCATGTAGGCTGTTGGTTGGATCAGCAGATTGGCAGACATGAGGCTTGATTTGTATTTCCGCTTCCAGCTTTGATTCCTGTGTGACCATGTACAAGCCATCATAGGTTATCTGTTACAAGATCAGCTAAGCATTCAGGGATATGAAGGGCCAGGAGAAGCTCTGTGGATTTGGCATTTCTGTGAATCGGGCCATTTATTTAAGTGCATAAATACTGATGGCAAGACCTCAAAAATGTTGGGTTAGAGCAATGTGAGGTATCATTTTCTACCACCTATTAAAGGAGGGAAAATGAAAGAAAAAAAAGCTGACCATTTTATCTGGCTTCCAGTGCTGCTGAAGTATAATCAATGTTTGTAAAGTACGTGGAAATCCTTGGACAAAAGATACTGAAGAACAAATATTCCAAAGGATTCTCCCTGCAAAACTTTGCTTTAATTGCTTGATGCTCGAGCTTATCAAGACTTTTCTTTAATAGTAGTTGTTTTAAAATGCACTGTAGTAGTTTAAAATGCAAGATACATAGAGGCTAGGTTCATACCAAATTAGAGTAAAATAAGCACTATTTCTCATTCTAAAACTCTTCAACATTTTTTTAAGAGAACTGGGCAAAAGTTAGGGGAAGGAATGCCAGAAGTATTCTTTTGTGAGAGACTGTGAGTTTGTAAATAAAACAGAGTTTAGTGGGAAAAAAAACTCCCTTTCCTTTATCCTAGTGCTTCTAAGCCTACTAATTCGCATTCCAAATGGTTTCATTCAGAAAAGCTAGATGGAGATCAAGGAAGGTAGGGAAGGTTAGAAGAAGGCGTTCATCTACTCTTCCAAGCACATACAGCCTGGTTTAGGGCTATTCCTCCTTTGAAGAACAGTGCCTGGGATAACACAGGGTCCAGCATCAGCCATGGTGCATTATTTAACAGGTCCTTGTCAGCCAGATACAAATGTAACCACTTGAAGAATCACATTTTAAATTACTAGCCAACAGTGAATTCTCTGACTACATCAAACAAAGCACAGGTGTTTTCCAGGGATTACAATATTATTATTACATACATCTAAGTGTCAATTATTAATGATCAGCAAGTACTATTTCTTTGGCCTGTTATATTTATTTGTTTCAAAATCCTAAGAAGTTTAAGAATTAAAATGGGATCTTTTCAAATCCAAATATTAAATCACATCTTCACAAATTGTGTTACAAACATGAACACATGAAGTTGTGCAAAGTCCCATGGGGCATTAAGAAGAACATGGTAAGAGCTGCCTCTTTACATGCTCCTCCTTACACCATGAAGGGCAAAAATTTGACAGCATCAGGAACACTATGCAGCAGTTTATGAAAGAGAAAGTTGAACTCATCAAAATACAAGGGCTATCCAGAAAGGTAAACAATCTCCCCAGCACTGACTTCAGATAAAGCAAAGAGTTGGGCTTCTCTACATGGTTTAATAAAATGATGTCAGAACAGAGAAGACTAATAATCTTGAAAAGCACAAAACCAAGGCATCAGTGATGAAGTAATGAAACAATTCACATATGAAGAGAAATATTCCAGCTCCTGTGTCACTTGAGCCACAAACATAGTCATTCCGAAATGTGAGAGCATGGCTAAACAGTGATGTGTGCCCGTTTCCCTTGCCACATAAACATTTCATTTTTGCCTCAGACACATTAGGTACAACAGCTATTCTGGAACACGTTTCAGATTTATTTGTGGATGATTTAGACTGGTGTTTAAGACTGAGTTCATTGACTGAAGGCAACTAGCAATCAATTCATCCAATGTAACATATCGGTCCTTTCTCTTCCTTTCACTCACAAGCATGCTAGGATGTAAATTGTCTGGAAGCCCAGTTCAGTCCTAATGATTTCCAGTTCACCTCCATGTTCCCTGAAACCCTGCTGTTATTTTTGTCTTCTTCATCTGACATTAAATGGACACTGGCAGCAGCCTAATGAAACCCACAGTGGTTCAAATCTATTCACCAGTTCTCACCTGGAACACAGTTTGGCTGAGTACATCTCATCTTCAGCCTTTTCACTATAATCACCATTGAGGCATAACAATAAAGCCTGATTACTCCTTTGGGGCTTTCTCTGACTCCCTCCCTCCTTTCCTATTCCCCTCTCATGCTCAAAAAGCTTTGGTCTACTCCCTTGTAATAGCAGATGACTGACACGCCACTTCCAGCTGGGCAGTTAAAGCAGTAATTCCAGAGTGCTGATGAGATTGCAGGGTACAGAGCACTCCAGTGTACATGGTGGATACTCCAGGCAGGAACTCTATGGCCCTACAGCGACAAGATACTAGAGGTAAAAGGAACACTATTATCTTTGTAACAAACTGCTACAATCCACTCAGTGCATTTATGGATCCAACATGCACACACGTGCAAAGGAATACAAGAGAAAATAATATAATATAGAATAATATAATAAAACTAATAGAATACATAAGAGAAGAGGGTGTTCTGCACCTGAACAAAGACATAATCACCCTGGACGATCAAGGAGTTATGGTCGATATAGCCTGGAAAGGGTTTGCTGCGAGTGGCTTCACTGCAGTTCTGCATCTTGCAGGTGATGTATTGGGCATCTGAAAGGAAAAGAACAAAAACAATTCACTTGAGATCCTGAGCACAGATTCTTCCTGCTGTCATAAATCTATTTGCTGAGGCAGCATTTCTGCTTCCCAGACTCATGTGACATGAACTGACATCATCCATTCAACAGCACACAAAACTTCTTTCCCTTACATCTTTCACAAATCCACCCTTGATTATTTTCTTCCTTTAAGTTCCTTTCTTCTTTAACTGCCTCAGCCTCCCATTATTTCTTTCCTTTCTGCCCTAGATTAGACATCAGAGCTATACATTTTTACCAGGAGATGATCTGATTACTTCAAGCCAGTGTTGTGGTTCCATGCTGGAAACAGACAACAGGCAGCATTTGAAGGTGGCACAATACTATGATTTGTGGCTCAGATCTGACAGAAACCTAGTTAAGGGTGTATCATTCAGCACTGCTACCTTCCCATGCTGCATTTACTTGGATGCTACCCAGGCTTAAACTTAAAGCAGGAACTGAGTGAGGGAACAAGAGCTGTAAAGGACTATTTACTAAGGCAAAAAACAGCCCAAGTCCTGGGACTCCCTAAGTAACTATGGGTCTGAAGAGCTGTGTCTTTGATTTGGGACAGACACCCATTGTGTTGCACCTCAGTTTCCCTTTCCCAAGTGTACCTTTGTCATCCCCATTGTGTGGGATTTGCTGTAGAGCATAACAGCTTCTCCACAGTCATGTACCAAGTTTATTTAGAACACGGCCAAGGTCCAGAGCATACACAAGCACATGGACACCTTCAGAGGACTCATACCCCATACTGTCACCAGAGAACCCCTTTCATGATGCACCTTCATATTTCCTACAGCACTTACATTCTCTGTAGAGTAATTCAGACAAACTTGGAAAGTAACTCAGACTATCTCCTGTTCAGGGGGTTTTACCTAATTCTCCATTGACAGTGAAGGTAGATGCATTCTGGCAGACCTGGGCAATCGTTCCACATTCTCTTGAAACTAGAGGCCTCAGCAGTTTCAAAGTAAATGGTCTAAATGCAGCCATCCATGCAAGCCATCTCATCCACTGTCACTATATGGGATGTCCTCATCTCTTATTCTGAAGCACTGCAAGGTGCTCATCTCATAATCTATCACCTGAAGAAAAACAATTTGAATTTCTTCATGATGGTAATTTATCCTAGAATACAGAACCAGATTCTCAGTATTTAATTTGGACTCTCGCAGATCCATTAGGAATTTGCACTTTGTTTAATGACAAACCTGATCTACAGGAGGAACGACTTTGGCATTTTAGCAGTAGTACTTACATGGTAGAAATGTTAGAAGTACTTCTAGTAGTTTTCCTTGGAGAGGCACAGACCCTTGTTTGATATAATTACCAACTTCTGATCAGAGAAAAAGCATTTTACACTAAAATAGAAATGGCTGGAATTTTACCATCTCATATTTAATCTTGGTTTTAATTAAAATCTATCATTTGACATTTCTTTCCTTGCTTCTAAGGGCTGTTGACTTCTGCTTGAAACAGACACGCAGGGTAACGAACCTTCAGGAAAGTCTGATTGAGAGATGATTTTACACTAGCATTTACAGAGTTCTTGGAATACATAAAGTGCTAAGTATTATTAGCATTTTAGTATTAGTATTATAACATTTCATGCTTTTGCAGCTCACTGCAAAACATTAATGAATGCAGCCTGGGCAGCATGATAGAAATGTATTTCCCTTCAGAGGGATATGATTTTTTCCACATTAGCCACAAGAGGGCAGGGAACGACATAATTCCCAGCCTGCTCATTCAGGTGAGCTCAGGAAAGTTCCCATTCAGAGCAGTTCAGTCCTCTGTCCCTCTGCATTCAGGAAGGAGGGGGACAAGCGGGTCACAGCCTCTCCCACCACCCAATAGTACTGTGTTGTGTAGCATGTCCCCTCCTTGACATAAGACAGAGAATGGACATGCATTTCTTCCCCTGCAACACCATCAATTCCCACTCCTCCTCTTTAATCCAATCCCTTGTATCATGAAGGATAGCCCCTTGCCTCCTCCACTTCCCCCACCCCAAAATCATAGAGTCACACAGTGGTTTCAGTTGGAAGGGACCTTTAAAAGGGCATATAGTCCAACCCCTTGCAAAGAACAGGGACATCTTCAGCTAGATCACGTTGCTCAGAGTCCCATTCAAGGTGCAGCCTGACTTTGAATATTTGCAGGGATAGGGCGTCTACTACCCCTCTGGGGAAACTGTGCCAATGTTTCACCACTCTCAATGTAAAAATCTGCTTCCTTGTATCTAGCCCAAATCTACCTTCTTTCAGTACAAACCCACTATCCCTTACCCTATCAATATGAGACCCGTTAAAAAGTTTGCCCCCATCTTTCATATAGGCCTTCTTTAGGTATTGAAAGGTCACAACAAGTTCTCTCTGGAGCCTTTTCTTGGCTGAACAACCCCAGCTCATTTAGCCTGTCTTTACAGCCTCTCTTTGAGCCCTCTGATCATATTTGTACACTCCTCTGGACTCACTCCAACAGGTCCACATCTTTCCTGTGCTGAGGGCTCCAGAACTGAACACAGTACTCCAGGTAGGGTCTCTCATTCTGTCTCAAGAAAGTTCCTGAGCTTAAACAAAGCATCCTCAGTTAAAATGGCTGGTCCTACAGCCCCCTGAGCTGTTGACAAGACTGGTGGCTTTTCATACATGGAATCAAACCCCCCAGCAGAGATATACAGGATCAGACCTCTGTTTCCCATACTGTTCCCTTCCCCCCCTCCACAGGCACACCAGCTGTCTGGGACACACTAAGAGGAGACTGCAGTGCTGTCTTACTTCCCATGCAAAGGGGTTACCAATGCTGAGAGCACAGGGAGAGAACAGGATGTACCTTGCTGGGACCAGCCAGCAAAGAAGATTAAGGAATCTCCTCCACAAGAGATTTTAAAGAGCAGGCCAGGTTGACATCCATTAGAGGTGACTGAAGTTCTTTCCATCCTGTTTTAATGGAGGAATGGAGACTATGCCTATTTTTGCTGTGATCACAGGAGTCTGGGCAGCAGTGATTGTACCATTGATGAAGATTTACTAAGGCAATTCTGTGAACTTTTACAGTGCAATTCTCCCTGGCTTCAATTCTAAAATGCCAGTAATAACTACTAAAGGGCAGAGCATTGAAATTGCTTAAGCTAATCTCACAAACAGCCAAACCCTGAGATGTGCACAAGAAAAGCTCCCTCTGTTGTGGGAGACAGAAAGAAGGAAGCAAGTTTATTGCAGTGCCTGATTCCCTCTTTTTTTCCTAGGGGAAGATTTTCTGTGCTCACATTAACTCATGGCTTTTTCATTTGATTCTCATGGACATTTTATGTGATTTCGTTGGCAGAGGTTTGTAGTTTAGCATTAATTAATGTCAATTAATGTATTCAGTTGCTAAGCTCTGGAATTAATTTCATTAGTTTTCCTGCACAGATGTTTTCCCCACCATAGGTAATTAGGACATTATGCTTTTCATTTCCAGAACCCTCACCTCCAACAACAGCTGCTGTTTTTAATACACAACAAGAAAGTCACACTGTGCCTGGAGAGAAGAACATAGCAACTCCCAGCTCTTACACCCCCAGACACTTTGATTTTGACAGGTTTAGACACCCAGAGTAGGATTCTTCTTGGGGAATAGCAGCTACTTCTAAAGAGGATGCAAGAAAAGTCACAGAACACAAGAACAGAGGAGACTTCTTGACTTCTTGTAAGGGAAACCTCTGACAAAATTAATCTGTTTCAGTGGTCAAAGAGAATTGCAAATGCTAACACATAGTAGAAGTTAAGAGCCAGAGAGATCCTGTGCCATGAAATATTTTAGTCTTTTCGATTTAGCTTGAGCTCCATGCTAATATGTTCTCAAGGGAAATGGATCCAACCTGTCCCAGAGACATTTCTTCTTTAGTTGCTCTAGAGGGAAGGTTATGGGTGGTTACTGGAGCTTGGTGAGCCTCTGCAAAAGTACACAGAAGTATTTTAGATCCCTTCCTAAAGCAGAGTGGGAATTTCTTCAGGATATTTTGTTGCTGAGTACTATTTTGGATTACATATGAAACCCTAATACCCTCTACTTTCTAAGTAGCCTAAGCTTGCATGCATATCTTTCAAAAACCTTATTTGATTACAGGGAGAGTCAGAGAAAATATTCACTGTACTCTACAAATGTACAATTTTTTTTTCTTGTATTTAATTCATTGAGGAATGTATCCTTTTCTCTACAAATAAACCCACCAAGGACAAATCAGGAATTTCATGCAAAGAGTATCCACATAATCTATGATTTTTTTCTCTTCCAGATTTTCTATGGAGTATCCCAGATCGTTTCTGAGCAACTTAGACATTAGGGATAGTTTTTGCTTTTGAAAGATGACTAGCATTCTGTAACTAATGAACATGGTAGTAACGTATGTCACTGAAAGACCCAGGCCTGTTACCCCTCTTCAACAGTGACTAATAACAGAAGTCTAGGCTGCCTTAGTAGTCCAGGTGCCTTAGTAGTCCCAGCGCATCTTCAACATTCACAACCTCCCATGGCAATGAATTCCAAAATTTAATTAAATGTTCTCTCATACTTTCATCTTTCTACTCCTTTTTTTGAGAAACACAAAAAATGACTGTTCTTTATCCATTTCCATCTGGTCTGAATGTTGATTTGTGAAACATTCATGGTATGGGAATATGCTCACAACTCTCCAGGACTCGGCAACTGCAAAGCAATTAACCAGTAATGAAGATCAATGAAACGAAACCATCCCATTTACTAACTACTCACAAATCTGGTTTTATCCTGCTGCTACTCCTTCTTCACTGCATGTCAGTGTCGGAAATCTTTCTTTACATAGGGAAGCAAATCCTCTACCATTTCTGGTATAAAGTTATAATCAGAGAAACTAACAGATGTCATTCTCCAGGACAAATACTAATCATGATCAGGAAAAAACATTAATTACAATAAGAAAAAAAAAATCATTGCACAGGTTTAGGATACTGTGGGAATTAATTCATCATTTTAGTTATGTTAGTAAAACACTATCAGGCTAAGTTGCCTACTCATTTTTTCCACTACACTGATTATTTTATTCTTCCTAGCAATCTTCTGTGAAAATAGAAATTAAAGTCCTAGTGCAACTTTGTGATTCAGACATTATTGGTCAGATGCTCAGTCCCTGCTGACCAGCAAGCAGAACACATATGCTGACCTCAGGTGAAACTTTGGTCTTACCTGCATCACCTAAATTACCTTGCATTAAGAAAAGTTGCTGTGTGAATCAGGATAGCAGAAGAAAAGCAAAGGAAACAGAACTACTTTTTAAGTATCAGGAGCTCTCTGAATTTTTGCCAGCACATTAGAAAACCCCTCAGCTTCTTTCATCCATGCTTTAAAAAACCCTCACATAAATTAATAACTTTAGTCCAAATCAATTGGTGTCATCTAAATAAGCAAATGCATGTCTCATAAATGTAACAGTTGGTTTTCCTGTTTTACATCTATAGGAACTGTTACTTAGACATCCTCTGAGTCAGTTTTGCCATTCTGTAGAGGGCCAGTGGGTACCCAGTTAGTACTGGGTAGTACTAACTACCCAGTTAGTTCCAAATGCTTTGTAGGAATCTATCTTTCTAATTCTCACCAACTGGATTCCTCAGTAGGCACCCACCTGAATAAAAATTACTTCCCATGTTAATTAACTTGAATCAGGCCTTACTGGGATAATCCTCCCTAGCTCAAATCAGATAAGCCCATTAATTTTGGATCTTTCAGGACTTGTGTATTCTTTACAAACCTAAACCCCACATGTCATTAAGTTTCCACCTTCTGAAAGCACTTCAAGTTGCATTTGAGCAAACCTAAATTTAACTTCCACCATCGCTCTGCCTGCTGACTGTGATGGTGAATGTAACAAAGAGAAGCTTATCATAGGGTTAAGAACTGTAGGGGATTAATTATCTTCCTGGGGTGTTGATCTGAGCCTAGACAAAAAAAAAATCACAATTCCTGCTGACTTTGCAAGCTCGCCTTTGATCCTGTTCCAAAATCAAAGTGGAACACCAGGGATATCCAAGCGTACAAGTGGAAATGTGAGATAACGTTCATATGAACTTCTTCCAACCAGAAGAAAAAGTTTTACTATATACTCTCGGTCCCAGATTGAATTGGATTGGGCCTGAAGCCTTTAAAAAATAAACAAAACCATCACATTTCTCTAGATGAAAATTTGCACAGTGCTCTCCAAAATTTACACAAAGAGGATTAAAAACATAAATGATTATGATTAGCCCTGCAAATCTGTCTCCATCAATACAACTATATTGAACAGACTGTACTCATTTTGTTCATCTTTACCTGCACCCTAGTGTGATAAGACACAGTGTGTTCAGGAGTCCAGATTTTTCTGGATCCCGAGGGAAAAAAATGTAGGGAGAACATGCACTCAGGAACAACATTCCTAGCCAGATCCTCAGCAGGTGTAAATCAACATGCCACTGAAGTTATACTGATTTATGCCTGATAAGAGACTCTCGTTTTGGTCCTTGCAAACCTTTTACATTATGTAAATAAACACAATAAATAAAATGCACAGACAGATGATAATCAGAGAGCAGAGACAGAGAGTTATTCTAGCAAGGAAAGCCCAGGTTGTTGCTGATGTTCTCAAATGACTTGGTCAGGGAGAAAGGCTAACCCTGTATCCTGCTGACATTTCTACTTCTCACCTAAAGCTGCAGTTGTACTATTCAGCTTCTGCTGGAAAATATATCAGCACAAGAATGAGGAGGTTTTTTCTTATTTATACTGAGTTCAGCAGCTTCTTGTTTAGCCCTTCTATTTCCACTTCGTATAATCTTTTATTTCATTGCACAGAGTGTGTGGCTGTTTCCACACTACTCCCTTTTCTTTCCTTCTTTCTCCCTGTCTTGCTTTGGCAAATTTACCTTCTCATATTTAATCCCTTTATTGAAATTTTACACTTGGTTAACTCTCAAAAGAGATATTCCAAGCAAAGTATAAATAAGTAAATGCAAAAATATTTTTAAAAACACCAAAAAAACACCAAACATAAAAACCTCAAGAAAATTATTTGTAAATTACCTTCAGTTTGGAAAAAAGGTATCTTTCTCACTTCAGCACAGTTCCCTCTATCACCCCACTGGTAGCAACACACTTGCTCCATTCCAGAGGTCAAGGTTTCTCTATCCATTGGAGGTTTATGGTTACTTTGTGCAGGAAAAGGAGACTGATTTAGTACTTAAAAGAAAGCTCTAGTAGCCAAGAGACCTGTATATACCGAGTTGGTCATGGTAACTAGAATAAAGGAGCATGTGCAGTCAGTCTTTAAATCTTGTGACCTGCAGTGCTTCCAAACATCTGGCAAAAAATGCTGTGATATGTTCCAAGGTTACTGCTTTCAGCTACACACCATAGTCCTCTGCTGGAAACCAACACTCCCTGGAACAAAAGGCCAAACAGAGCATGCACTTACTGAAAATCCAACACATTTTCTTATTCTGCCAAGGAGGTGATTTGAGGACCTTTTGACTCATTAGCAGAAGTTTCATCCAAAGGACTGGTTTGCAAGAGCAGTCACCACCGGCTGAAAGTTTGACACCACTGAAACATTTAGTTAGTAGTTCTGTCACTGACTAAACTGAAATACTTAAGTTGTGCTGCCTCATAACCAAACCAATATAAGTGTGCAGAATCTGTTATTAGAGCTCAGTTCTTGAGCAATAATTTGTTATTCTACAATTCTTTTTACTAATATGCCCGATTACTCAGTAAAGCCAGTTTCTTGTATTTGTTTTTTGGTTTTCACCTTAAGCGCTGTAATAAAGCTTACTAATTTGTTAAGAACTCAAGAAGCATTTTGTAGAAATGTGTGATAGCTGTGCAATATGTTCTTATTTCAGCCTAAGAACTCAAAAAGATCATCCAAAGCATTTGGTGCGTGGCACTGTCTCTGCCCACTGTGAGCTGAACATCCCTCAAAAACATCGCCAAAATATAGCTCCTTAAACATCGCTTGTAATCCTTCATCTCAGTGACCACAAATTCTTAATGACTTATAAGAGCACTGTTTGGTGCTGAAATAGACACTGTTAAGAATATTTCATTCTCATTTAGCATGTCCCAAGAAACAGGGAGCCTCATGTCCCCAGCCCTGGTGTCATATCTGGTAAGTGAAATTGAGAGGAGAAATAATAATCATAGATCATAAATGATAAGAAATAGAGATAATACATTATTTCACTTTTGCTATTTTGCATATCTTGACAGGGAAACCTTTAAAACTTTATAGTTTCTATCACAACTGTTTCTTCTCAAAATTCATCTTCCAAAAAATTCTCTTTCAAGATAAATTTCCGTAAGTTAAAAACCAGATTACCCCACAATAAACTTTTCAGATAGTTTTCAAGTTTACAGTGACAAAATACACATTTTAAGTAACACCATCACAGTTGAGGGTAAAATTCAAGGGAGAAATTCATCCATTTAAAAAGTAATTAATTGAATGCATTGTTAATACTTTTGTATTGAAAATGGTAAAAATCTTCTTGTTATGTTGCAGCAAAGCTGCTGTTTACTGAGGAAACAATATGGAATTATAGTGATGATCAATGGCAGCCAGGCTTTCAAGTGTCATGCCTGCCTGAGAAAATCCAATGGAGTGGGAAAGAAATCCAAGGAGTAAGATCTGCAAAGTGGAATTCAAAGATAGACCTTGAGGAAGAACGGCTGGGAGGAGAAAAGGCCAGCGGGTGGTTTAGGGTACCTGAGAGAATTTATGGTCAATTAGGAGAATATTTTGGAGTTGCAGGTAAAGGAGGCTCCTGGAATGGGAAAAAAAAAAACATCAAGAGGCAAAGCAGGGAGGAAAAGGAGCTGGTGAATGTGAAGGACAATGACAGGACAAGCAGGAACAGTGAAAAATACACTTCGGTTGGTCATTAAAAGGTTTCTAATGAGAGAGAAACAAGGTATTTTCAAACGCAGTACCTAAGGCAGAGTATCCCTGGTCTGCTAAAACTATAAAGCTGTGAACAAGGTGAAGCTATGTACTGTGTGAAAAAACTAGCAGCTAGACTTTGTGACTCAGGAACTTCTCTGCAATGTCATGTTCCCATCAACAAAAATCACATTAGAAGAAATGAAAGTGCTCTGTGGAGTAGCTCCAATTACAGCTTATCACCTATTCTTCCTTACCATGTTCTCGGCTCCTTTCACAGCCTGTTAAACCCAACTTTTTGCCTTTCTGGAAATGCCTGTCTTCTGACAGACCTGACTTGAAACAGCCAAACCACTCATATTAAATGAGTGAACAACTAAAAAGAAGTCAGATTTCTACTGTCATATTGTGTGGTTACAAGAATATGAGGACAGTCCAGTATACCACAATATTTAAAAGCTGATCTACTTACGACCATCCGCTGTCTTTGCCTCCAGGTGCACGAGATCAGGCTCTCTACCATTCCCCATCATAGACCTGTAAAAGACAGATTGAGATAAAGGTATTAAAAACAACATATACCATGAATGTCTGAGAAATTAGTTTCACAGGAGATCCTGTTTAAGTGAACATAAACTCATACTCACAAATAAGAACTGATAGCTTTGAAAGCATTTTGGAGTTTTCCCTAAAATAAAGTTGAATATTTTAAAGAAATTCTACCATGTTATCTAATCAATGCCATTGTACTTATGAGTTCTTTATCTGATCCCTTCACTTCTTTCCACATGGACACTTACCTGTTTCTGTTCCTGTTGACACCTGCCATTTTGATGTGTCTTCTGGTTTGGTCAGAAGGATGCACTTCAGTTCAGGGTGGGATACAGAAGACTTTAATAGATGAGATAATAGCATTGCCATCATACTAATTATAGCTGTTCCTTTATATTGGACATTTTATGCACATTTGCTTAATTGACACTCTTAATGATCAATGTTCCCTCATTAATTAAGAAGTTTTAAAAACTCATTTTATCCTGGGACATTTTATTACTTCGGATCTAATAAAAACGTGTTTCATTAATAAAAGAAATGTCACATTGACTCAGAAAATGACTGTTTGTTCACTCTGAATTAACAAGTAACAAATAGAGATAATGAGTATGACAAATAGGGGTTTATGGAACCCAGCTCTGCTTCCATTGTTAAGGTTCCCCTGGTCTGGCCTCATCAACTCCTTGGAAGAATCCAAATGGCCAGTGGTTTGACAGACAGTCTGAACTATGGAAATGCTTACTGCAAGAATGTACCAATCCCACTGTACAGCAGCCTCAGCAGCATCTCTGATAATCAGCCTTGTTTCTGGTCTTAGTCCTATAACTCAAGTCATAATCCCAGATTAAACCTAAGGGTTAAACAACAGTTTCTTGTTAGCTGCCTGACCTCCAAGTTAATAGAACCATGAGGGAAGATATGCATTCATTTCCAGTGATAGACAAATTAGATGTTCTGTTCAGAGCCTCATTATTTTTTAAGAAATCAGAAGTGAGATTCAAACAGTGATTTAGACCTTAATTCAGTTCCCACTGACTGCAATCAGAGGCACCTCCAGAGCTTAATCATCATGTGCATTAACTAATAACTATTATAAAAATGTTAACAATAACAAGGTTATCTGTGTCCTGATTAATCCTTAGCTTTGCTTGACAAAATCTGTAGCAATCCACCAACTAGAAAAGGTTTGGATTTTTTTGTTCTCCTTTTCTGGGAACTGAATTTTCAGAAAATACTCTAAGCCAGCATTGCTTTCACCTCTTCTCCATTTTTAATAAAGTTTATGGCAAGGTCTTATTCTCCTAAACATTCAACCTCCATTTAAAATCTCTGCTTCCTGACAATTGACACCAAGTGGGTGGTAAAGAAACACCTTCCTAGGGCATTTTTCTTATACCTGCCATCATCAGCAAGTTTAGAGCCAAAATGCTGGGCCTGCTGGTTACAATTCAGTTCAACATAGATAGATGCCAGTGACAAATAGGGCTAAAAAAACGGTAGAAGGACTAAGCTTACAATATGGCATATCTCCTCTTCAGACTTGTTTATTTAAGTGGGCTTTAAATACTGGGACTATTAAAATAGCCCACCTGGAACTGGGCTGAAGAACAGAAAACACAGTCCAGCTTTGTCAGTGCATTCCTCCTCCTGACCTCACACACCCCCATGGGGATGTAAACTCTGCAAAGAAACAAGGAATATATTCCATGAATTTGAGCACTTTGTCTCTTCAGAGACACACAACAATGGTATTTATCCAGCAAAGAACTTGTTGCCCTAGTTAAAGCATACGAGTCTACAGTTACGTGTTTTGTGATTTTCCTCCTCACAGTCCTATTCTGACCCCAAGAAAAACCTCTGTTGCATCTTCTCTAGCAAAGACAGCCAATTCAGAATGATATATCTCACTGATGGATGGGGTGTGATTGTCACTGTTACTTTCACTGCTGATATGAGCCATAATTTATATTAAAATCTTAGATGATTTAAGAGAACCATATAAAAATCAGGACTCATAAACCCCTGAAAGTTATAAGGCTACAGCTGTAGCTGTAGTCACCTGCATATTACTTTGTCTCACACTACAACAGCCAGTATTGGGACTGTAGAAGCTCCAGTTCAAGGCAGAATTAGGCCATCAGTTGTCCTAAGGATGTACAGAACAAGGATGGCTGAAACATGACTGGTGATAAACATTATTCATCTACTCAAAGGTTTCCTTTCCTTTGATATCTCCTAACACCTGCAACTTAGAAATGTGATGACAACGATGAAAACTTTTCTTCCATTTTAGGCAACAGTCCCAAAGCAGGTAACCCTAAAGACCTGAAATATGTTTATTATCTACCTTTAAAAACACAAATTACAGATAAACTATGAATTGTAATTAAAGGGGTAATTACAAGGGGATTGTAATTAAAGGTCCCGGGCAGCCTTCTCTTTGCCATTCCCTATTCTGAGCAAACTTTTGTTCATTATGTTGGCAGTTCTTTCTTCTCATCCATTTCTCAAATCCATTCTTCCCTTTCCGCATTCATTCTCAAAGACCAAACCCTCATATATCCACAAACTTTTCTTCTTGCCGCAGTCTATGTTTTCACTTTGTGGTAAAATGCCAGCATGCCCTTTGTCTGTCCCTTTAATCTCAGGCTTTTCGTAATACTCCCTGAAACTTCAGGGGATATCCTTGCAATACTTTCTGTTGAATGGTGCCTATTGTATTTTTGTGATTAACTTTTACTGTTTTGTTGCTATAATTGTCTGGACATTTTGAAAAATGAAAAAGATAGAAAAAAAAAGAAAAAAAATCTTTTGGGAAAATGAGGATTTAGAAAAGCTGAGAGGAGTGGAAGGCAATGACCTCACTGCCTTTACACTGGAGATGCTTACATTTTGAAAAATGTAGGACCCCCGCAGTCCTATTACAAAGTTGCTTCCTAAAATTTTAATCATCATCAAGCCTGCTAAGTAGTCATCTACACTTGAGAGCCTCACAAATCGATATCACTGGCTGCAGTGCAGTAATTGCTCTGAATGCAGATTCTATATCCACCGTGAGAAGCAGCAAAGGGAAAAGACCCCAAATCATCCTCTGGTTAAGAACTAGACTGAGCTAAACAAAAGCAGCCTGGCACTGCCCACTGCACAGTAAATGCTAGTTGGCATATTTCTGTAGTGACCAACCCCTTGCCATCTTCTCTGTCTGAAACATTTCTAAAACCTTGGCTTCCTTGGCCTGTCAGCTCTTCTGAGCCAAGAAAATTCAATAGAGACCCTGTTATCCTGGAGTTTCCACCTCTTCTATCTTTTTTCACTTCCAGGGACAAAAGCAATTGTTTATGGATGCTGGGAACTGATGAGGCTTGTAAGGCAGTCAGACCACTTAGAACTGCAAAAAGGCATCATTGTGAAGAAAGCAAAAGTTTCCATTTGGTGCACCTAATTTCAAACTACCATTTTTTCCTAAACAAAGAACTTGAAACACCACACAATAAGGACTGCATCTCAAGGGTTTGTGCATTCTGGAAAGTAGCTTTGGGTGCTTTTGGTTTTGGATAATTGACTTCAGACACAGTCAAACCATATCTGGGACTATATGCACAAGAAACTTTATGGCAGTCTTTCCATATGTATTCCTTGTATCATACATGCTCACAGCAGCCAAGATCAAAGATCTTTTAAGTCAGGCAATAAAAGACATTGTTATTTTACATAATCTTCAATGCAAATGGCCCAGAATGAAAGGCTGGAAGAATAGAAATGCTACTGTGTCCTTTTCACAGACAGAACCAGTGCGAATGTCCTTCATTGTTTACATGAGGACAGAGACATTATGCAGCTTTCCCATGTCTCAGAAGAAATGAACAAGTGCAGAATTAGGACTCCTATAACTATACCTCACCTTCTTTGGGGGATAAACAGGTATGACTTGTTCATGCAGCAAAGGACAGTTGATAAATGACAAATAACAGCATGCCTCTTCTAACGTGGATGGAATGAGACCCATACAGTTCTGGCCATTTTGAACTTATCAAAAATGACTCAGAGTAGCTCAGAAGTGGCTACAATGCAATACCAAACAGAAAACTGACACATTGCTTGGAAAATCCAGCCTGACTAGTCATTATTTAAAATGCTCATTTGCCTCTGTTGCATTCTGCAGATGACTTTGTTCTTAACATGTTACTTATTTTGAGATGTCTCCTGACCTTCAGCATTCCTTTTTCCCAGTCCCAATTTAAGCACATCCCTATTTCCACATATACTGCATGACACAAAAAGACTAACTAGCTGCAACAAGACAGGTGGAGGAGAATGTACTCTTAGAGATCCTTATGCCAAAGTTGTCCTATGAACATAAATATTCTAACAAGCTTTATCCTGTCACAATAGAGCTATAAAGTTGCTCTGTTCAGCACATGATAATGGCTTTGTAATTCAATTATTGGTAGAATTTGCCTTTGGGGATTTATCTTCCTTTAGCCTCAGCATCCATGCGAATCCCTTATCGTAAATCTTGCCAATGCAAAACCAGCTCCCCCACCGCCTCTGGGAGATATCCCACCACTTCATGTTAAAAAACAGACAGCTTATTTCAACTTAGTGAATGGTAGGTTTTTGTTTTTAAGGACAGAATGAAAACAACAGTGGATGATGCTCATGGAGTCCTCGGTAGCATCAACTTTTTGGTCCCACTGATGCTTCTGTAACACTTTAAATCCTAATTGCCATTCATAAAAATAGTAACATGTAGCACTGAACAGGGAGCTTTTTGTCCAAAGATACAAAAGCACTTGACAATCGACCTTTAAGTAACCTTCCCTGCATGCTACTGATTTGTTCAAGACCTATGGAAAAGTACGAGACAAGGAGACCAAGTTAGAAACAGGGGCTGAGGAAAATTTTTGTTCTCAGCTTTATGGATAAACTTCACTGATTAGTCAAGAGCACAGGGACCTCATTGATTTGACCAAGATCACACA